TACTAGCGGAGAAGGTCTTATGGTGATGAAATACGCTGAAATTCCGTGGCACTGAGATAGCACAATCAACGTTTTTTCAACGTGTATGTCTTTCAGATCCTGTTCCAATCCCTCTGCGTATGTTTCTTCACCTTCACGACGACTACGCTGTGGGGCTCTATGCTATTTTACACCCCCAGCAACTTTGTGATGCATCTGGGGCAGACAAGCTGGCATTTGATGCATGGTGGGTTCGCATAAAGGAAGGCAATCTAGCAGATATCCTTTTTGCGGTCAGCTCGCTTTTGCTCCATAGTTTTATCTTTTCGCGCCCGTTTTCGTTCTCGTCCCGGTTCTGGCGCGCGCTCGCTTCTCTCTCTCTCTCTCTCTCTCTCTCTCTCTCTCTCTCTCTCTCTCTTTCTCTCTCTCTCGCTTTCCGTTAATTACCCAGGATCTGGTTAAGCTGTTTAATGCATGCTGCAAAACACAAGTTTCGGGGTTTAAAGGGGATTTACGTTCATTTGGCATAATTTTCATTTGGCATAATTTCATTTGGCATAATTTTCCTTTGGCATAATTTTATTTGGCATAATTTTCATTTGGCATAATTTTCATTTGGTATAATTTTCATTTGGCATAATTTTCATTTGGCATAATTGTCATTTGGTATAATGTTATTTGGCATAATGTTATCCGCTCATCAAATCAACAGAATCGGCAGTTCCTCAAGGAATTGGGTGCCTATCAAGTTCGGCTCGATGTCAAGTACGAAAAGATGCGCCAACGCGGTTCGAAGAAGAACCGAAGAAGTCCGAACCCCCCGCGGGTCGTATTCCACCCCGCAACGTCTTTGTCCTTGTCTTTGTCTTTACCTGTGATGTTGTGTGATATGAATAAACAGGCTAAATTATGCCAAATAGCATTATGCCAAATAACGTTATGCCAAATGACAATTATGCCAAATGAAAATTATACCAAATGAAAATTATGCCAAATGAAAATTATGCCAAATGAAATTATGCCAAATGAAAATTATGCCTAAGGACATTATGCCAAATGAAAATTATGCCAAATGACATTATGCCAAATAAGCGTTCACCTTTAAAGGGAGAGTGATAGATCTCCCTAGGGAGCCGGCTAGCAAGGCTTATTTGATTTAGGCTTATTTTCTTAGTAATTTTTGTTAAATTCCAGGAATCCCTTCGATGGTCTACCTGTTCCTCAACAAAACCATCCATCGGCGAGTATTCGGCAAATTCGCCTTCTTCTCCTACCGAGCCTCACCGAGCAGCATCAAGCCCGTGTCAGCAACACAAAAGGAAGAGGGCTCGAAAACCCACTCCAACATTGCCCCCATCTCCAGCAGCAATTTGGAATTTTGATTGTCTGGCAAGCGCCGCATAATTGTCATGACTCACATTTTTCGACATCTTTTCTAAACCCCAGCCCCTCTTAATTAGCATTTGTCTGCCTTTTGGAATGCATTCGGACCAATTTCTTACCAGACTCCGGGAGGTCACCTGCAAAATAAAGCATAATTATGAGTGAGTCAGCGTTTATAATTTGGGGCAAAGTACGCAAAATAATAAAAGTCAGTCCAAAAATATAGGAAGTCAAAAACTTTAAATCGACGGTCTTGAATACTCCCCAAAAAAATCATGAGGTGAAACGCAGGGAGAGAGAGCGTCAGAGAGAGAGCGACAGAGGAAGAGAGAGAGAGAGAGAGAGAGAGAGAGAGAGAGGGAGAGAGAGGGAGAGAGGGAGAGAGGGAGAGAGAAGAGGAGGGAGAGAGAAAAAGAGAAACAGGTGAAAAGTAATAAGGGTTTGGTTTTTGTGTTAATTTTTTTCGATTCAGTCCAAGTTCAGACATCAGCTTCCCAAAAACGTATTTACTGAAAAAACTGTGGCTAAAGATTGAAGTTGTGAGCCCAATTTGCATGTGAAAGTGCCGTTTTGTTTTTTGGGCGGGCCGCTACATATGAACATGTTTTGAGAAAATTGCGACCAGGTTCACAGGCTGTCCAGCACTGTCTGTCTGGCTATTCTCTAGCCGTTAGTTTAGCCTCTATCTAGAGTACTAACCACAGTTTCCCGCATTTTTGTAATTTTTAGGGTAACGCCTGTAACGTGTAATTAGCGTAGAAAGATGCGCAAAAATTTTGTGCGTAGGATGATGTATTTTCTAGGATGGATTGTGGATCCCCCTTCAAAAAAATAACAGTTCCTGAAAGGTAGAAATGGGACGAAAAATTAAGCATTAAAAATTTGTGCGCGTTTCTTCGAGTCTTCTTCAACAGTTATAGCTTCTTTTGGATGCACAAAATGTTTTCAATAGAAAAGTCAGCCTGAATTGAAGGTCCGATAAACGAAAATAAGCTTTTCGTAAAGTTTAATTCCTTCGTGTTTTTTTGGCCATGCCTTTATTTTTTAGAGAACGATAAAATCGGAATTTCAATGCTACTAGTCCAAAGAATTTTTATCCTGTACGGTCCCTACGTTTCCACGAATTGCCCCGAAAAATGTCACATTACTTTGGACACAGTTGTAGAGATTCCGTTCCGGAATTCCCCTAGAGACCCCTTCGTAGGAGCTGACGGTAACCACAATTTTGCGGTTAATTCTTTGAAAATTTCATCTTTTTTTGCTAGACCTTCTGATTCATCGGGTTTAATGCGAGCCAAGGGAGCTTAAGTACCGCAAAAATTCCTCTACTTCACCATACTACAATACAGCAAAATCACGCGTGCTGCGTGCGTGCATTTGGAACGATAATCTTACCCAGCCATCTTTGAGTTTTACCGTTATTTTAAGCCAAATTACTTTGATTCTCTATTTCAGTTAAGACCAGGGTTGAAAAGCCGCTTCGCGACTTTTCAACCTGGCCCCGTCAAACCCTATGATGTTCTGCGTTTTGCATAATTGGGCCCAATTCTGATGACAAAAAATGAAAAACTCCCTTCGGGCCTTTATATAGGCTACTGCAACTTCCGGCGTATGCTAATTTTATCTTAACACAGTGGCTGTCGGAATTTTTAAGAAAAACTTAATTTTAATGTTGAAAACAACATATTTTACAAAATCCGATATGTGTGCAGTCATCTCCAGCCCATTACGCATCTAATGACGTATCAAACACCTCCTCAAACCCATCCCTTCTCGAGATATCCTCCGGACACCCTGACGGAAGTTGCATGCAAATGCACACACACACACGAACACTATTTTTTTTATATATAGTAGGAAGTAGGATAGATGGAAGCCTATGTTCTTGATGAGGCTGTCGAGCTGGACCCGAGATGGAGTTGCCGGTAACCAATTATGATTACATTGAGCCGTTTTGACGTGGTATTGCAGTTTTTCGACTTGACGGAGCTCATTCGATAGAGCTTGAAATTCTCTAAAAATCCCCTATTTCAAAAATTGTTGAACGACTGGGGCCTTGGCGAAACGTGCCTGAAAGGGGCAATTTTGTTAATTTTTTGGTTGGCCGCTTAGCAAAATCGTGATTTTTAAGGAACCTGTTTTCAAAGGCGACTATTGTTCGGCAGTCTTTGTCATTTCTTCAGCACTATTGCACCAGGTTGGAACGAAAGTTCTGTCGCCGAGATTTTGGAAGGCTGGCTAAATTCGTAGATAGCTCCATTTGGACATGCGATATGTCATTTAGTAGCTCTCGGCCTGAATGGTTCCGGGAGAAGGGTCCTGGGCAGGGGCGTACACGAACCCGATTTTTTGGGGGGGCAACTCGAAAATTTTTTGTCGACCTCCCCCCCCCCGGTCACCACTTTCAAAACATTCAAATTCAATTCAAATCGCAGCTATAACAGCGCCGCAGGCCGCAAAAAATAAGGAAAAAGCGTTGGAAACGCTCAAATTCATGTAAAAACATCACAGAAAACGCGCCGTAGGCGAAAATTTTATATGGATAGTTGACACACTAATGAAAAACAGCGCCGCAGGCAAAAAAATGTTGGAAAAATAGGCTTTATAGAAGTAAAAACCGTCTTAAAAACAGTAATAAACAGCGCCGCAGGCAGAAAAATTTTTATTGTAAAAATCATAAGGGTCCCCCCTTATGAACTTTTCGGCCTTCGGCCGATTTTGGGGGGGCAACTTGCCCCTGTTGCCCCCCCTCGTACGTCCCTGGTCCTGGGCCCTGAAAATCAAGAACGGCCGAGATACAGGCCCAAGAAGATTTTTCAAAAATTACGCGAAAGTGTTTTTGCAAGTTATCTCTGCATGGAGCGATTTGCATACGATACCTTTAACGCCAATCGATAGCTCTCGAGGAGTAGATATCGATAGATGTTGAGATCATCAAAATTGGACACTGGATAGCCGAGATATGGCCTCTTGAAATTTAGCCCATTCCTTAGAACTTTTCTCGATTTCCCATACATTTTTTTCAAAATCCGCGCGGCTAGTCCAAAAATAAAGCGGTAATTTTCGGCACCTGTCCGTCAAGCTTAATCTCAATTCGCAAAACTCCAAAATGCCAAAAAATCACTCCTTGTGAGTGCGAACTTTTGCGGCAACAACCAAAATGCCGACAAGCGATGACGACATTCATGACAGCTTCAGCCAAAATTTCTCTAGCAGAAATCCGGAAATAATTCCGATCCGTGTCATTTGATACATGTAACGCACATAGAATAGTGCGCTAGTTTAGGCCTTTTGCTTGTCGGCACCTCCGTGTCATTGCAAAGTCGCTTTTTTGGTTTGCGACTTTGTGACCTAGGCCCCAGGATCCAATTTCTAAGTTAGCCCTCTAATTTTACAATATAGAAACGTGACTGAGTCCTTCTCCCAACTCCAGTCCCATCACGAGCGACGGCCACTTTTGGGCACCGCGTATATTGTTGGAGGGCTGTTTTTTCAGGTATTTTTGATAGAAAATTTCTAGAAAGTTGCACCTTAATTTTATGATTATGAAAAGCGTTTCTTCTTTTCAGATCGCCTACATCCTCGCGCTAACCGTCATCTGCTCCAAGGATTTCATTAACCTGTCATGCTATAAAGTGATGGCGGCATTGGGTGGGCTTTTTCAGCGTTTTTAACTTTTTCATCTTTCTCTTCAGCAATTTTTAAACCTTACCTTAACAAAATCAAATTGTTTAGGATTCATGGACGTCTTCAGCCTGTGTCTCAGCGCTCACCTGTCCGGAATTTTCTATATTCTGGGCGCGGAGTACTGTATGTACCCGCGGATACAGTATGTCAGTGGCTCCCTTGTTGTTGGTGGGTACTGAATGACACGTTTTAACGGGGCTGACAAAACCGCGCAACGCCACGCTAGTGCGTTGCGTATCACGGACGCCGCGGTTTTCACCTGGAAGCCATAATACAAAAACCAGGATAATTCCTTTTTCAGCGTGCGTCGCCACCGTATGCCAGCTGTCGAACCTGCTTGTAATCAACCGCATCCTCGACATCTGGCGGCCACAGCTTGGGAAATTTTTGTTCGAGGTACAGCTTTACGTTTTTGGTGACCTCGTGCAGTTCTGGGTCCAGGCGTGAAATTCTTGATTTGAGCTGCCATATTTTATTTGCATTTTTAATTGCCTAAATTTTTATGGAGCCCGAACCTGGTTCTACATCGCGTTGATATTGATCTATGGCCTCGTGTTTGTGTTGAAAGCACCGCCTGCAGTATTCAGCGTCGAATATGGCACATGGATTTTCCATCCGCTGATCCCGGGAAAATTAGAATATGAGGTCAGTTTCGGAAAGGGTGCTTATAACTCGGAATTCGTTCGAAAAACGCGAAATTCCTGCTCTGTTAGCTTCTTTAAAGGGACAGAGAAGCCAGGGCTATGAATTTCCTAGGAGGTTTTTAGATGTTCAAAAACACGCAGATTAAAAAAAGAATGAAACCTCAAAAACATTGAAACGCGTCGAGTATCGCTTTCGCGTTGCAAAATTTCACAGGAAAACGTTTTGACACGTACAAATGAAATTTTACGGCAAAATCTGGCTCATCCTAAAACGCTTGAAGAACTGAATAAGCTGTCGTTTTTAATCTTGGCCAAACGGTATGCTTTGATTTTTTAAAATACGTTTTTTGAAGCTCCAGCAAAGGCTGATTCATTCAAAAAATAATCCTTTTTCGGAATTTAGTACACATCGCTCCCGCAAACGGTCAACAATCTCGTGACGTCGATTGTCATGTCGGTTTGCTACTCGGGAATTTACGCACTGCACGCGTACAAAATTAAAGCAACCATCGGTGCAACACCTATGCAGAGAAAAGTCAGTTTTCCGGCTTTAAAGTGTTACCATTAATTGCAGATTTTGATTCAATCGCTATCAATCTGCTTTTTCACATTTACTACGACTACGCTGTGGGGCTCCATGCTATTTTACACCCCGAGCAATTTTGTGATGCACCTCGGGCAGGCGAGCTGGCATTTGATGCATGGTGGGTTGAGATAGAAATCGAGCTGCAGATGAGGGGCTAGCTAGCAGAGGCCATTTGGGGAAAATTAGGATTTGTATCGTTGATATATTAGATCGTAAATTAATACCCGAAGCGTTAGATGAGATAAGTGTTAATTCGTTTATTAAAATCACTCTTTTTGAATCGGGGATTTGGGCCTAAAAATTTTTGAGATCAACGGCCATTTTGGCGCCTTTTTACGAGACTTTTTACCAGATGAGCTGTTCTACGAAATTTAGCGACATTTAGGTATCCCATCCCTGGTTTACCTCTTCCTCAACAAAACGATACATCGTCGAGTCTTCGGAAAATACTCCGTATTCCACTATCGCGCCTCAAGCGGCATCAAGCCACTGTCGACTGTGCAAAAGGAGGGCCCCTCCAAGGGCCATTCTCAAGCTAGAGGCACGATGTCGGAAGTACGACTCGGGTTTTGAGCATCATTTTGTGTGTATTTTGTACGAATCACACAAATATACAGGGTGTCCCAAAAAAAAAACCCCCCCTCGGCATTTGGCCGTCTTCTATCGGATCGCGGCCAAATTTTTACCAGTGATGGGGACCCATAAAAACTATGTGCAGCCAAATTTTTTAAGCAAAATATTGTAAAAGCAAAAAGTTTCTTTTGTACTTTTCAACGCCTCGAATTATCACTGTTTTTGTCGTATCACCGCTCTTTGCTTCTTATTTTGCACGATTTTTTTCATTGTGTCTGTTCTGTTCCTTTTTCATTGTGTAATCCTGGAATCTATAGAATTAAATTACGTAACTCTGCACTGAATTTGTAGCAAAAGCACCCTGCTTGTTTCATCGATGTGCGGAAGGCTACGCTGGGCGCGGCTCCCTTCATGGCTCTTCCCCACCGCCCAGGGCACCGTGATCAGGTGGCCGAGTGGTTAAGGCGTTGGACTGCTAATCCAATGGGATTTTCCCGCGTGAGTTCGAATCTCATCCTGATCGAATCTTTTGCTTTTTGCGGCTCGAGTTGACTTTTGGGTTTTTAGAGAGTAGGGTTTTCGGTCCAACCCACTTTTTGTGGTTTTTGAGGCAGCTTTTTGGCTATTTGACAGACCCCTGGGCTTCTTGTAGTTTCTTGTGGCATTTTCGGTGTTCTATTTTTATTTTATAAAATGTTTTTATTTCTCCCTGGTCACCCTGAGATTCATTTCGAGCACGACACGACTTGGCTGAACAACAAAGATGCTACTTGTCCTTTCCTGATCTCTTCCTCTTATCGCCACCGTTATTTGCAAGATCCATTGATAAAGGAATTTTCGATAACTGCCATAGAAGATGAACAAAACGATCGTTGACGCGATGCCATGGCTGCACGATAGGATGGTCAGCCATATCGAATAAGCTGAAACCATAGGTTAAAGGGGCTACGAAATGCCAAAAATTGAGTGACGGCCCGAAAATCGGAGCCCTGTACGTGGGAGGCCTTTGCACACCTAGGGTCGCGGGAAGCTCGCAAATTTGAAACGGCCTGTTTTCACCTCGAAATCACGTTCTCGGCTGTTTCTGGGCCAAATTTGATGATTAAAACACCAAAACTATTTAAAATTGAGTGAGGACTTCAAAAATGGGCTCAGAATGGGCGAATTATAGTGTTTTCACAAAGAAACCGGGCAAAAACAACTTCGCGCAAAAATCGAAAAAGTGAGGGCTCTCGTCCCGCAGCGCCCGCTGGCAATTTGCCAGAAATCAAAGAGGCCTCCCAAAAAGGCTTTGATTTGGCAGTTCGGAACCCCTTTAAGCTACTAAGCTTGAAAAGTGTCTCACCAGCAAGGTAGTACCACCCATAGTAATAGATAATGGCATACCAAAAAGCCGGAAACATGTAGATGAAGTAGAAGGTGGCTGTCTAAAGTATCTCTCTATCTCTCTCTATCTCTCTCTCTCTCTGTCGCTCTCTCTTTCTCTCTCTCTCTCTCTCTCTCTCTCTCTCTCTCTCTCTCTCTCTCTACCTGCACCAGCAAACTATTCAACCATCTTCGCTGCATCTTCAGCGTTTTCCGACTTGTTGTTGCCACTTTGAAACTCTGGATTTGGAGATAGCTCGGGACAATCAGGTCTAAAAAGAATAAAAATAAATTAAATACGGTCAAGTTAAAGTAAGTTTCATTAAGCTGGTTTCATGAAACATACATATAAACCCGTAAAACACCACTGAATTGTAGATCGTCGCTGCTGGTACGGTGATAAACCTCATTTTGGCTTCCAGCGCATAGTAGCTGGGCTGACTTATGAAGTTTTTGACGATGGGATGGGTCTAAAACAGTTCTTATTTCGTAAAATTACTTTTAATTTCTACCACATAGTGATAAGCATGGGCTTGTTGCTCGTCGTTGAGCATCAGTATGCACAGTCCAGCCGGGACCACGTAGTAGAGAGGGTGCAAGGCGATGAGGATGCAAACTAGCTTTCCGGTACTGGAATGGCAGCTGGATTTTTATATAAGGAACTCTTTCTATCTCATTCTCCCTCTCCCTCTCTCTCTCTCTCATTCTTGCTCTCTTTCTCACTCTTGCTCTACTATCTTACTCCAGCTAGAGAGCGCGAGAGACATAGAGAGAGAGCGAGAGATCGCGTCTGAGAGAGAGAGCGATAGGAAGAGAGCGTTAGTGAGAGCGCCTGAAGAGAGAGAGAGAGAGAGAGAGAGAGAGAGAGAGAGAAAGAGAAAGCAACTCTTACCGCTTGCTAAACTTCAACCGATGCCCTTCATCCAAAATCGCCTGCTGTCTCGAGAAAAATGCAATAGCAATGGCAGCTAGGAAGCTTGTCATTATCCCAAATCCCAGAGACTGAAAATTTAGTTCTGCTTAAAATTTAAAGTTCCTCTTCTTACCATCTGCACCCAGGCGGTTATTCCAAATTTCGGCAACACTCCCATCGAAAAGCAGCCCCCAGCCGGGATAGCGCAGATCGGAAAAATCAGATAGACGAGGATCAGGTCGTAGAGGATTGCATTGATCTAAAAACGGTCTTAGTACGTATAAAACCTAATAAAATCAATGGATTGTTAAATCGAGTTCCTACTTGTAAGTAGCACATATAATTCTTATAGTTTCCGATGCGCTTCGGAGTGCCGAACCAGATGACGTACAGCCCGAGGAGGTTCACAAAAGTGGTTGGAACTGCAAAATGGTGAAAATTTTAGGACGTGCGTAATTTTATGATATTATGCATTCATATCCATTAAGGTTTAAAGCTAAGCTAAATTAAGCTAAGCGACTTACTACTATTTTACTGAAGCTGCTTCCGAACTTTTTCGACTTTTCTCGACTTTTGATAGCTTAAAGGGGCGCGGAAGTGACAAATATAAACGCTTTTGCCAGAAATATAAGGCCGCTCCCATATTCTGCACTTCCGCGTCCCTTTAAACCTAGACATCACTTACCGGAAACCCACTGAAAAATTGAATATATCTTCGGATAATAACTAATATCGATTGGATCCATATCTGCGGCTTGGAATGGCTACTGGAAAAAATTTTGGCCGATCACATGAAAAAGCGCTTGACGACACCTGGAAAACATGCTTTTTCACCTGCCGTTTTTCGTAATTTTTGCTCACGAGGAATGGCGGTTTGTACTTTAGATTTCCGAGAAATCTGATTTGTTTTTGTGTTTTGTATACTTCGCCGCCCACTCGGGGTGGGCCCCCCCTGGGGGGAGGAGGGGGGACTGCGAGGGGGACAGAGGGGGATCCCCGGGGATTCTCCCCCGGCCACTATAAACAATCTTTTTTACTAAGGATCTAATTTTTCTATAGGTAGATGAAGTGTTTCTCATCTGTTTTCGACAATTCATAAATATAAATCCTGCAATTTTGCGTTATGAAAAGTCCAAAATATCGGTTATTGGATCGATCAAAATCGTGGATTTTCGATGAGAATCCACTAAAAACATTTCCAAAGTTGTTAATGGTTTTTCCACGTGAACCATTGTCAAATTAAAGTTAGTTCTAAAATGGTGAACAAAATTTAAGTTTAAAAAGTCTCAGGAGGACTTTATAGATGCCTACCCTGGGGGGTCCCCTGGGGATCCCCTCTGTTCCCCTCCCAGCCCCCCCGTCCCCCAGGGGGACCCACCCCGGGTGGGCGGCGAAGTATAGTGTTTTGGCACTGTTTTCATGGTTATTTATTAACTTTAATTTTCAATATGGATTTTTATTCATCCTTTGTGAGGCGAATTGTCCTGTCCAGGGTCAACCGATTTTGCGACACGACAAAGATGCTGCTGGCTGTTTCACGAGGTGTGGGTTTGACGACCTTTGTGAGCTTCGTGAACCAATGGTATAAAAATCGGCGGTAACTTCCGTAGAACAAAAACAAGACTATTGTAGAAGCGACGCCATGTGAACACGTCAAGATTGAGATCCAAATTGAGTAGGCTGAAATGGAGGCTTAGAATATAACGTATTTTTTTAAAAGGAAAAAGTCTACGGTAGACAAGAACAACTGAAACTTATTTTTTTAAGGTGTGGTGGCACACTTTTTGTCTTACCTGCTAAATAATAGAGCCCAAGTTGGTATAAGAAGGCGTACCAAGCTATAGGAAACATGTAGATGAGGCAGAAGGTTGCAGCCTAGAAGTATTGGTCTCTTTCTCTCTTCTTCTCTCGCTCACTCTCTCTCACTCTCCCTCTCTCCCTCTCGCCCTCTCTCTCGCCGTGTGTCTCTCGCTGTCTCCCTCTCTCAATCTGGCTCTTTCTCCCTTTCTCTCTCACTCTCTCTCTCTCTTTCTCGTTCTCTTTCGCTCTCTCTTCTTTCTCACAGCGTGTTCAAAAAAAGTACCTGAACCACCAGACTATTCAGCCACCTGCGCTGCATTTTAGAGTTTTCCGACTTGTCGTCGCCGCTTTCAAACCGCGTATTTGAAGGTAGCTCGGTATAATGAGATCTCAATTCATATTTAATTGGCGATAAAATATTTAAAGCTTACAGCTAAATCCCCAAAAAATTATCGAGTTGTAAACCGAGACGGCCGGTACGGTAATGACCTTCATTTCTGCTTGTAGTCTATAGTAGGTGGGTTGAGAGATAAAGTTTTTGACGATTGGATGGGTCTAAAAAATATATATTCACCTATTACTATATCCGATGCTACCGCATAGTGGAAGGCTAGAGCTTTTTCTTCGTCATTAATGGCTAACACCCAGAAGCCGAGCGGGATGATGAAATATAGTGGATGGAGGGCGATAAGAATACAAATTAACTTCCCGGCGCTGAAAAAATTGGTCAGTGATCGCGACAGAGAGCGGGAGAGAGCGGGAGAGAGAGAGAGCGCCCGCGCGAGAGAGATATAGAGAAAGGGAGAGATTGAGAAAGATATATAAAAAGAGCGAGAGAAAAACAGAAAGAGAGAGAGAGAGAGAGAGAGAGAGAGAGAGAGAGAGAGAGCGAGAAAGAGAGCGAGTGAGATGGAGGGATAATGAGAGCGATATAAAGAGCGAGAGAGAGAGAGAGAGAGAGAGAGAGAGAGAGAGAGAGAGTAAGAGAGAAAGAGGGAGAGAGAGGGTGTGAGTGAGATTATTTATTACCTCTCACTCAGCTTCATCCAATGTCCATCCCCCAAAATAGTTTGCTGCCTCGAGAAAAAGGCGATAGCAATTGCAGCCAGGAAGCTAGTAGAGATCCCAAACCCCAGGGACTGAAATAAAATGCAATTAGCTTTGCTTGTAAGGTTATTTTTTACCATCTGCCCCCAGGCCGCAATTCCTAATTTTGGCAGCAACCCCATGGAATAGGCCCCACCGGCCGGGAAGGAAAATACGGGAAAGATCAGGTACACCAGGATTAGGTCGTAGAGGATTGCATTGATCTGTAAGTAAGATGATACCTTATGTTCATCCTGCACTACCTGAAGGTAGCAGAGGTAAGTTTTGTAGTTCCCGACTCGTTTCGGGGTGCCGAACCAGATTACGTAGAGTCCAAAGAGGTTTAGGAGGGTGGCTGGGACTAAAACAGGTTTAAGCCGGTGCTTTTATAACCATAAGGCGTCAGAAAAGGTTAAAGGTTCAACGCTTTGAGGCAGGTAAGACGTCAACACCTAGCCGATGAAAAGAGCCTGTTTTTACGCTTATTAGTACCTTTTTGAAACAATAGATTATTACTATTTTCAAGCCCTAGAAAGGCTGCAAACCTGAAACGCATTGAAATACAAAGTATATTTCTGGATAGTCGCTGATATCCACCGGGTCCATCCCAAAAGTTGAGATCAATAATTTGAAAGGTTTTCAAATGTGCCCAGCCCCCCAATTATAGCAGGAGCTACTTCTCTTCCGGGTCACCTGCTCCAAGAAAGGCCACAGAAAATAATTATTAAGGTTTGTGGCGGCCGCTGTTTTTTTTGAAGGTACGTGCCGACGAAATGGTCCGGATGTTTGCTCTCTCACCCTCACTCACCTTCTTTCTATCTCTCTCGCTCTCTCTCTCTCTCTCTCTCTCTCTCTCTCTCCTCTCCCTCTCTCTCTCTCTCTCTCTCTCTCTCTCTCTCTCTCTCTTTTCTCCCTTTCTCTCTTTCTCTCTCTTTATCACTCTCTCTCTCACGCATACTCTCACTCCCGTCTTTCACCTCGATGATTGAAATCTGGTTTAAATAACTTTTATCGATATGGCAATTCAAAAATTCTGCGGCACAAACGCAATCACACGATTTGCTATCATATTGTCGAAATTTCATAATGTCGAAATTCAGAATATCGAGGTGTTTTTCTGGGAAAATTTGCTTATGGAACTTCTGCATTCTGAATTTCGACATTTTGAAAGAAACCCCAATCACACCATCGGAACACATCACATAAATCGTGAGACGGCAAAAATTCAGCTAAACGGTACTGTAGCTAGTCGTTGTATGTACAAGCGTTGACATTTGGTTGAGATCCACAGGAGCCCGCTCACCAATCTTCTTCATCTTCCCTAAAAAATAGGTATAATATTTATTTATTGTTTATATGGCATATTTGCTATTACAGCCTTTTAATAGGAGCATCAATAGAGATACGTTTTATGTTACAGTACAGTTCACAGTAATGAACAGTAACTTTCTGTAGTTACTTTGTGGTTGTGAAACTCACGATTCCGGCTCGGAGATGAGGCGGGGGACCCGAAATCCCTCCGGGAACCCGTCGTCCGATTCGCTCAACCCGTCGTCCCAGTCGTCATCTACCAGATCGTGTGCGCCTTCTGCGTTCAGGTAGCGGTCGAGGAAGCGCCCTCGGTATTCAGGCGCCTAGAAAATGAAGAATAAAATGTGCAGAACTTAACTGGTACTAGTAAATTTTCTGCTAGCTTGCCGTTATTTCCTCAGCAATCACTGCTAGCCTTCCATAATTTCCTCAAAACCGACGTTTCCTTTAGTTGATAAATTTTCTATGACAAAAGATGAAGGTTTCTATGCTTTTTTATTGTTTCTAAACGCAAAAACTTTGCAAATTGTTCTTACAAACAATCAATACAGATTTTTCGGCGAAAAAAAAGACCCAATTTCGACCAAAAAGTCGAATTTTAGAAACTTTCTAAAGATTTTTCGATGCTCTTCCACTTAAAAGACAGCTAAATTTTACTAAAAACATCCTGAAAATACCAATACTACGTTGTCTCTACCTCACGCTAAAATATTTTTCTATGACTCTTTGCTAGCCTGCCCACAGTTATTCGTCAAACCAGCCGTACCGCATTCTCGCCTGGCGGCCTGAAGAACTCGATGCGGAAGTTCCACAGCAGCGTGGCCGGCTTAAACCGTCGTTCCATCGCTCGACCATCCGGCCACGTCCAATAAAAATCGGCGGCCACTACAGTGCGAGTGCCCGGATAGCTTTTCCCGTGCCACTTACGGATGATCTGAAAGCGAATATTAAGTTTCTCGAAAATTATAACCTGTTCCGTCACTGCTGCTCCTCGTGTAAAATCGACGATGCAAATCCTTTTTTTCCCTACTGTTCGAATCCTGAATAAAAACGATAAAGTTAAAAATATAATCAAAAACCAACACTAGCGGCACCTTCAATTTGGCCCTGCCCAAGATGACGCGCTTCACATCCGCTTCTGAGATCACGTCCGGAAAGTTGTAGAGGAAGAGCTGAACGTTGTAGAGATTTTTTGCTTAAATCAAGCCACATTAAAAGTATTTACTACTTGATAAGGTCAAACTTCTGCTTTTAGCGCCGATAAACTACAATAATATAAACAAATCGTCGGTTTTTGAGTGTTAGCACTCTTTAGAATATTAAAACTATGTAATAAACTGGATAAACCTAAACAAAAAAAAAGATCATACAAGTGCGTACTTTTAAAACCAGGTTTTACTTTTCTAAAATGTCTTATTTAATCTTTCCTAACTAAAATCAGGATAGAGAAAACGCTCCAAATTATGTTTTTGCACGTTTACTACTCTTTAAAATTCTTAAAGACGAAAACTGTAAATAACTGGATAATTTATAAAAACGGTTTACCTGCTCGGTTTTGACCATTTCCTGATGCGTGAAAGGAGACGGGTGGCCAGCCAAAATTGACGCATTCCTCGGCATCACCTTCACCGCTTCGATTTTGCAAGTTCGTGAGCCGGGGTTGTGTTCGGTGACGCACATCTGCTTCAGCGTGCCTTCACGCACGGCGTGACGTCGCAAAAGCGCCGCGATCGGGTCCTGAAATGTATTTTTAATGTTTTTTTTGCGTTTTTATGGCTTTTTTAGCATGTTCACTCCATATTTAAGGTAAGTTCTACGTTTTTAAAATGGGGTTTTCATAATATAGCTGCTTCTTGGCAAACCTGAGTTAGATTTGCGTGAAAACTTCTGTATTATGCTTCACTTTTTCAAAGCTATGGAAAGCACGGCACAAAATTTAGCCGCTCGAGCGTGAAAATTGCATTCTATGCGTAAATTTCGATAGTTTAAACTTTATTAGCAGTGAGATCGAAAAATATACGCGTATTTAATTGTAGTTATCGATTTTGGCCCGTTTTGCGGATAATTCAGAACCGACTTCTTCGTCCGCCGGATCCCTGGATGTCGTGGCAGGCTCTGGCAATCCTTTTGCAAGCGCCAACTCGCGCCGCAGGTCCTCGATGATTTTGTCGGCTTTCCGTTGTGCTTCTTGGGCTTCTGAAACCTCGATATATTGATAGCTATTTCTTTTCAAGCGTTTGATTTCCACATGCTTTTTGCAACGCCAGGGCTGAAAATATCGCTAAAAATCCGGAAAATCGGCAAGAGAAGAGGCAGAAGACGTTTTTGAAAACCTACTCATCAACGGAAAATTCACGATGCTGACGCTGATCATCCCGCGGCATGTTGGACACGTGACACTGAAAGTTTATATTTCATCCTATTATAAATGTGTTGTCATACTATAGCTTTTCTGGCTCTACCCTTTGAATCCTTACATTTCAGATCCGCTAACCATTGAGCACGGCTCGCACGAATCATGGCCACAATTGAAAAGGACAGGACGTCGTGAGTCAGAAACTGAAAATAATCATTTTTGGTTTAATGAACTTCAAAACGCATTAAAATATTTGGAAAATTCGTAAAAATCAGACTTACAAGACTGTAAACAAATTACACAATCGTTGACTTCACGCTCCCCGCCGCTCGTCGAAGCCATACTGCAATTGTTTTTTTTGCCTATTTTCCGATTTCATTATGTTCATGATATAAAACAAGAAAAAAATCCTTCGAAAGATAGAAACAAAGAGAAGTGCCTTTGGCGTTTCACCTGCTGTTTTCCTCATATGATCTGCTTTTCCTTGCGTGAGAGAATGGCTGGTGACGATCGCTGGGCCGCAGTGTAGGGCGCAGCAATGGTAGTCCAGCTTCGGGTTGTGCGCCCTGAACAAATTCTGCTTCTAAAACGGTCGTAGCAACTGCTTTCCGCGATTTTCAATAATTTCGAATTATTAAAAAATTTATCAAAACTTTTTTCCTAATAAAAAATTCTGAAACCTTTGACGAAAAAGTCAATCTTCGAAAACTATTATACTTTTTCTCTAAAAAAAGCTTGACCTGGATAAACTGAAATGCTTTTAACGTAAATTAGCCGATTACATTTTCAAAGCCGCATTCATTTAAACAATTCTTGCTCCAATCCTTCACTTCGTGGCGTATCGAAAAACTTTCCCGCTTCTTTGTTTGCGTTCCAAGCCCAAATTGCATGTCAAATTTTGAGAGTGAATTTATCAAAATACCAATAAATAATAAAACGGCGCTCACAACAAAATGAAAGGAAAGCGATGGAGGGCAAAGCAAAAGGCACATCGAATCACGGAACACGTTGCGGGGTGCGGAAATAAGATCCATCGCGATCACCAGTCTTCCTCGTGGTGGTAAAACCCATCTGGAGGAGTGTAATTATAGGTCCGAAAAACCAAGTTGTCGTCATTATTTTGAGGTTGTGGTCGCGGGCGGTTGTTGGGCCGACGTCCATAACCCTAAATATTCGTTGACGTCGAAGCAGAGGAAAAAAACATACGCGGCCACGGTGCACGGCAGCCCCACGGCGTTGATGATGGTTCGGGTTTATCCACCAGAACGACGCCTCCAGTCGGTGCTCGTCATGGCCCGGGTAATGCATGAAGTGCCAGTCGCGGATGATCTGGAAAAGGCCAATATTTGTAACTTTCTAGGCATTGGGTCCTTAGCGGGGGCCCTATCGCGGGAAAGCAGCTTTTTCTGATTTTTTCACAGGGGCCCCGGTTAAAGGGCTAGTTCAGCCAATAAAACAAAAGAATTTCCGCGGTCAGGAGTCGAACCCTCTCTGCGTTTTTGTGTCTGCGCCGCTCCATTTTCCCCAATGTCTAATAGCTGCCGTAATGGGGACTGTCCGGGCGCACTGTGCCTACGTCCATAGTGTCCCAAGGTACCAGCCCAAGCTCTAAAAGTTGAACCAGCCCTTTAAAACAAGTTGTAGAAATTTCGCAGAATTTTGCGCTGTTTAGACAAATAATTTCGAAAGGTATCAAAATTTTCGAAAATTGTTGTTAAAATTCGTTAAAATTCAAACTTACAGCTTTTTAAATCCTTCTTGACGATTCTTAACTAAAACCTAGCAACTAGACGCTAAAATTTTTAGAAAAAATCTCCAAATTTGAAAAAAATAATGCTAATACTTGTCTGGTAAAAATTCAGCTTCTATTTTTTTACATACTATTCAATCATTTTAAACGGCTAAAAAACCTATTTTTATTATTACAAAGTTTGAGTAAAATAACGAAAGTTCTTCCCCATGCTATTGAACCAGAACCACTTCTCAACAATTACCTGCTCGATGACGGCCTGTCCTCCCTCGAATTCGGCGATGCAATTTTTAGACATTCCACCTCTGACGAAACGAAAACTGAAAAAAAACCACAAATCCTAAATTTTGAAAACTTAGAGCCACCTGGGCTGTCCGATGGTTGGCTGGTGACCAAAGATGACCGCCTTCACCTCCTCCTCGGTCACATATCCCGGCAATCCGCGTAAAAACAGCTGAAAAACAAATTTGTACGTATCGAAGTCGTCGGACTACCTTATCGGTGCGCTCCCATCCGGGATGCGGGGGACGATGCATCTGCTCCTCCAGCTCGTCGTCGCTCATGATATCGGCGCGGCTCAAGTCCATGTCGTCAAAGTTCGGCTCGAGTCCGTCGTAATCGTTCAGCTCGTCGAGCTCCCACGAATCAAAAGCTTCGCCGATGTGCAACAGGTCTTCGGGGTCGAGCCGGTATCGTCGATGGCCGATGCGTGCTGGGAGTCGCAACGGAGTATGGTTTTCCGGAAGTGGAGCCTCCTCCTCGCTTTCACTGCTGCTCGACTCGACGTCCAAGGAGGCGAGTCGTTGCTGAAAAACAAGAATTATGCAAAAATCGGTGCTTCGCATTATCGGTGGGGCACCAACTTTTTTTAAAACTTTTTGAACTTCATAAAACAAAACAAAATATAGATTTTCGAGCAAAAATCGCCGAATTTTTTACCTATATTTCGACGTTTTCGAAATTCTTAAAAATGTTTGATAGTTTTTCGAGCCGAGATATGTTTAAACTTATTAAAATACTGCCTATTCAGTTACTAGATATTTCTAGACTGGCACAAAAGAGGAGTTCCCCCCTGATAGTGCCAAAGAACCAAAAAAGCCATAAACTGACCAAAACCCCGTCCGAGTCATCTCCATTCTGCAGCTTCAGATATTCGACTTCACGCTTCAACCGCCGTATCTCCTTTGTCGATTTGCGCTGCTCCCTCCGCAGCTTCTTGTAGGCCTCGTGGGCGGCTAAAACGGCAAAAATTAAGACCAGGCTCTCACAAACGCACCCAACAACCCGTAATTGACAATAATGACGTCGATCTCCTCACGGCAAGTCGGACAATCCATTCTGTAAAAATTACGTTAAAATAGTAAGATACGCCTTACACTTGATTCTCCTGCTCGCCCAGTATGCAGCGCTCGCAGAAGCTGTGCCCGCACTCGAAGATGAGCGGACGGCGAGTTTGAGCATCTAAAAATGTTGTCATTGTAAGTTTCGAAAAAGCCGGTAAAGATCTACGCTACTCTATTACAACCGACGCTACGACACCCTAAGAACCTGCCTTTCGGAACGGGCAAACTAAAGTTTCGGCGAGTTTTTCAATAATATTTAGGCACAAAAATTATTAAAAAAGAGATTTAAAAGCTTCAGAAGCTATACAAAGTATCGCAAAACCTCTTACATTCATCCGTGCAAATTATGCACTCGAACTCGTTTGTGATACCCGTAGAACCCGGCATACTACCTGCAAAGTGACTACGAATAGAGGCAAATTGGAATTAAAACAAGGAATTTAGGATACAAGAGCGTGGCATTGCAAAAAAAATAGCTGTTATAGCGATAAACGTCAGTACGATCAAAAGGTTATACGAAGAGTTTCGAAAGTTGGTATTAACAAAAAAAAGAGCATGGCTTCTACCAGGAAAAATGGAACGAAAAATCACGGCCTAGCGCGCAAATTATAGAAAAAGAACATAGAACATTATCCACTTATCAATTACTATCGATCTGTTTAATCTCAACATACTTTTGAGAAACTCTTAGGTCCGGTGATTTTTCAATCGGAAAGCGACGAATTGATAGGCAATCTTATACATTTGGCAAAAAAATAGTAATTTATTTTTTAAAATAGGAAATTTCTGCAAAAATATTTTCAAAAACTCTTTGTTTGTAAAACAAAAAGACCAGCTGGCATTTGGATTACGCGATCGAAAGCACGGCAGTCGTTGGAGGTACGAGCGCGCGGGTGTGGTTTAGGATCAACAACCCTGGCGAGCTTGACAAAAATGGAGTTATCAGCGTTGAAAATCAATAAAATACAGTTGAAAATAATTTGATACGAAGTCTAGAACGATTCGGGATCGGGGAATCGACTTAGCGCTACCAATAAACGCCGGTCGAACTTTTTAGGAAAGATTGACGGAAGTTTATTGATCTCACCTGAGCTCTCGATAGAATGCTTATGCGATGGAATTCAGGATTTTTCCAGAGTGAATTCAGCGCGCTCCTTTCTCGCTCGATATCTGGGCGATGCACTTGCGAAAAGAAAATATTTCACTTTGCTGGGGTTATAGAAAAAGAAGACAGCGAAGATTATACCGGAAACGTTATAATTTCACCCTGCAGTTTTGTTAAAAAAAAGTTAAAAAGTTAAAAATAGCCTGAAAACGATAAAAGAGTCAAAGAAACGCTGTCAGGATTTTTGCATTCCTTGGATTCCCAAAAAAAAATACTTTCTTTTTAATTGTATCCGCTTGCTTTTTTGTGGATTTCCATGTAAAAACTCGGTATTTTCTATCTCTTTATTCCATTACAGATCCCAAATTTACAAAAGGGTTAACAAGGGTTCGAAATAGCCAGGAATACAGTTGTATCCAAGTTCTATTTCATTTTCTATGCAGAATCGAGGCCCGAATCGGTTTCTGTGGTCGTAGAAGTCTGAAAAAAACACAATAAAAGCCTAAAATCAAACCAAAATGTGCTCGACTAAGAAAAATCCTACCTTTTCTTCGTTTACATCCTCAACGATGACGTCAATCTCGTTGGTCACTCCCTCCCTCTCTACCGCATCTTTCGTCTTTTCCCACAGGAAATCGGCAGTCAAGACGTGGCTAGTGCCGGGGAAGCGCTTCTTGTCCCACGCGGCGATCACCTGAAAATCAGAATTTTTGACAACACACTCGCTTTAAAACGGAAAAATTCATCAAGTTTTTGGAGTCCCAACCCCTCCAAATAGGTTCTAAGCTTAGGCAAATTTCTACGATCCTTACCTGCTTCACGGCAGCTTCACCCAGCTGGAACTCGGCGATGCAGTTCTGTTTCTCGCGCGATGCGCGCACCCTAAAATGGCAAGCGTTATGTTGAAATATAATAACACCAGCCGCTTACAGCGGCTTCGCCGCTGCAAGCGGCTGGACTTCGGGCTACCCCCTGGCGTTCCCTCCTCATCGCCGAAACGCGCGCGATCTGGCTCACTATGTCCAAAATCACCCCCCACCCCTTTTACTAAGGAAAAACTTTCAAAGTTAATTTTAATAATTTCCATTAAAACTTTTTCATATTTTTTTTTATCAGTTTGGGGGTTTCTGACCACGCTCTATCCGAATTCCGAAGAGAGCTAAGCTCTACCTCCTTTCCCCTTCGAGTTGAATCCGGGACACGACGGACAGACAGACACCACAACTTTTTTATTATAGTTGATAACCTTTGAACAAGATATAAATATAAATTCATTAGATTAATTTGCATGAGGTTTGCGAAACGTACCTAATCGACTTGAGGGCCTTGCAGCCGAACAACTCCCGGCAAAGCTGAGCCTCGGTGACGCCAAGCGGGATGCCGCGGAGCAACAGCTGAAAATATCGGATTCACTTCTTAATTTCGGTTTTATGTTTTTTTGGGCGTAGATGTCCTATTGGCCTTGGTTTTTTGGGACTTTTTAATTAATAAAACGGCAAAAAACTCAAAAATTTCGAAATTTAAAAATTTCTTGCCAGGTGCTCTAGTTTTTAGTTTTTCGAAAATATTAGTAATTTTTATGTACTTTAAATAGCTGACAATTACCAAGAAAAGGCTACATAAATGGCACGAATTTCATTATTGCGACACAAAATTAGATCCCACGCACCCCCCCCCCCCCCCGCTAACATCCCAGTACCAAACCATCCCTCACCTTGTCCGTCTTCTCCATCCCCGGCTGGGCAAACGGGCTGGCGAACTGTCTCTCGTGCGTTCGGCCCTTGACCTTATTCCTGAAGCCGTTCAACGCGAAGCCGGCGCTCGACTCGATTTTCGGTAGTCCGTTGGCCGGCGCGCTCTTGTACTTGGCCGCCTCTTTTCGATGGCACAGCGGCACTTTTTCGAAGGTTGGCACGATCTTCTTCTCTGGTGCTAGAATTACAGCGGTCGTCCGCTTTTCCGGTGAACGACTTGAGCCGGACCCGGAAGTGGAACGGCTTCTTTCAACCGGATTTATGTGTTCATGTCCATAGTACGCATGCGTACTGTAGTCGTCATGACGGCGCGTCGCGTAGCCGTAGCCTAGTCCTTCAGCTCGACCTGTTCCGTAAGGCACCTCTGGACGGTGGCCGTCATTACGGATCGATTCGTAGGCGGGTGGCGGTCCTCTTCCGTAAGGCACCTCCTCACGGAATGCATCATTATGGATCGGCTCGTAGTTGAGCTGTGCAGCTCGTCCGGTTCCGTAAGACACCTTCGTACGATACCCGTCATTACGGTTTGCCTCGTAGCTCCGTGGACTCGGGTTGATATATGCTGTTCCGTAAGGCGCCTCCGTACGGTATCCGTCATTACGGATCGGTCCGTAGAGCGGTTCATTCGGGCTGATCCTGCCCACAAATCCGTTACCGTAATTGGCACCACATTGGTTACGGTAGGCATCCTGATGCCTTTGGTTCCCATACACCTCTTGACGAGTCTGAGGGCGTACTGGTGCGTAGCTCTCCGTAGCCGGGGTACGGTAAGCAACCGAATTCCGGTAGTTTTCCATGTCAGACGTGTCGTTGTTTCTCTCGTAGCCGGGTGAATTTCCGGGGGTACGGTAGGCGACTTCCAGGCCGTAATTTGGAGTACGGCGCTCGTTGACGGGACTGATGCGGAGCTGGGTGGTATTTCCTTCCGTGTTGACTCCGCGCGGCTCCGGGAAAATGGGTGATTCCATTGGGGGCACGGGAGCTTCAATTCTCATCTGATTCTCTTGAGCCATCGGCTCCTCGGCCTGGCCGTTTCCACTTTGCGCCCCATTTCTGGGGCACTTCTCAGTGTCAGACAGGTTAATCTGAAAAGTCGTGCTATGTTAGTGATGGTTTAACCCTTGTCGATTTTGTTTTAATATGATTACAAGCCGCGAAATTTCGAAATTTACGCTAAAACGGGGTCAGCGAGACCTGGAGGAAAGCGAAAGAGAGAGAGAGAGAGATAGAGAGAGAGAGAGAGAAAGAAAGAGAGAGAGAGACATAGGGAGAGAGTGCGCGAGCGAGGGAGAGAGCCAGAGAGAGAGAGAGCGAGAGAGAGTGAGAGAGAGAGCGAGAGCGAGAGAGAGAGAGAGGGCAGTGAGAGAGAGTGCGAATGAGAGATAGAGAGAAAGGTAGAGCGAGAAAGAGCGAGAGGGGGAGAGAGGGTGAGAACGAGATAGAAAGCGAGAGAGAGTGAGAGAGAAATCGAAAGAGTTTTGGAAACCCTGATCAAAACTTCACTATTTCGCACCAACTAGATACAAAAATTCCGCATACTTTTTTGTCGACCTCCACGGCGACCTTGAGCTCAACGAGCTCTTCGCGGATGCTTCGCATTTCGAAATCTTGAAGGGCCTGAAAAATAGAAATTAAGGGCTGCTCCTGCCAAATAACTGCATTATGACAAAAACACCCACCTTTGCCTCCAAAATGTTTTTGTAGGCGCGGTGCGCTTCTGGAAAAGGAGATTTTAATTGATAAATATTTTCTTGTTTTAAAAGGGTTAAACTATACCAAAAATTCGCCAAAATTCGCCAAAAATTAGAATATACCAAAAAACTCACCGATAAGGGCGAAATTGATGAATGAAGAAGTGATCGGGGCACTGCAGATCGGGCAGGTGGACCTGAAAAAATATTTTAATTTTTTTAGGGTTATTTTTACTGTTTTGTTGAATCTAATTTTATTTGTGTCCATTTAAAATACTTCACAATAAAAACTTACGCCCTCCCCTCGGCCGTGCACAACGTGCAGACGGTGTGGCCGCAGCTGATGCACAGCGGCTGCCGCCATTCCGCATCTGAAAAAAAAACAGGATTTCATGCCTTACGTAGCGATACCTTTGCCGCCACAAAATTTTTAAAATGTAGTAAAAGAAATTAAACAAAACGCTAGAGATACACTACGCTACTGTAGACGTAGCGATTCGGAAAAATGACTAGGAATCACAAAGATTCCTTAAGGCTTTTAAAATAGTTACAGACTGACAAATTACGATAAAAATACGCTACAAAGTCTACATTACTACAAAACTACGTAAGCTACGTAATTACGATAACTCACAGCTGATCTCGCAGAGCGGACACTCGAACGGGTCGCGATCGTTGGCGGCCGGGGCGCTCATGTCCTGGGTTGGAGGCAGGGCGATGCAAGGACGAACTTTTCCTGAAAAATAATACCTTGGTTATTAAAGTATGATAAAGAAATACATTTAGAGAGCGTTAATGAGCACAAAAAAGAGACCGAGAAGAAAGGGGGAGAGTGGAAATGTCCTTAGCGATCGTGGCAGCCGATTAGGGACAGGTTTTTTGGGGAAGGGGGAACAAGCGCAAGGGCAGATACGCCATGAAAGATCATCTACATGTCTATGTGGCCTTGAAAAAAAAACAAAAACAGATCACGTTAGGCTAAATGTTTACATGTCGCTCTACGCGGTGTGGAATAAAAATGCCCGATCGTGGTGAATTCAGTAGGAAACTTAGGTCATATATATCATAAAATTTTAGGGAAAGCGAGGAAGTAGTTTTCCGTTTCCGTTTAAAAATTCAATTAAGCGAGAAATTAGCAAAGTATCCACTCCAACGCTACGCTCCAAACAACGCCCCTAGCCCTACGAACTTTAGGGGTGTAAAAGTTCACGGTTTTGGTCTGTCGGCGACCCTTTAAAATCTGGTGCCATCTGACCACCCACTTGGCCGGGTTTAAGATTGGCAGTTGCCCTCGGAGAAAAACCATAAATCGTCTGGACAGCTGCTAAGCTGACAGGAAAGCGCGACCCCGATAAAAGGAATGGTATATAGCGAGATGGGGGTGAAATTTGATCTGGTATAGCTGGATTCTAAACCATATCGCAACAGAAAGAGGGAGAGCGAGATAGAGAGAGAAATACAGAGAGAGAGAGAGAGAGAGAGAGAGAGAGAGAGAGAGAGAGAGAAAACATGTGATCAAAGGTGTCAAATAATGGATGGTCATTCAAAATGGGGGCTTTTAACGTTGAATCACGAGACGGGATTGCAGACAAAACGTTTCGGGCAAAAATTCGAGTGGTTTTTGGAATTCGGGAAAGGGGAGAAATGGCCGGAAACATATGAAAGAAAAATAAAGATATTCAATCGCGGAAAACATGGGTTTTTTTTAATAGAAAAAGATGGTATGATATCAAGTTATAGCTAGCAGCTGCTCGGGCGGTGGTAGCTTATCGGGAATGATAAGCGGAAAGGCCGATCACGTGCCACGGGTGACAAGGTATAGCCTGAGGGAATTTTGTAAAATACACATTAATGACCAGGAAATATGGATTTTGGTATCAATTTTACACACATTTAGCATAGTTTTGCCAATTTAGGTTTAATAAACAAGAAAATTGTATACGAAACTTTAAATCTAGGTTGTTTTTACGAATTCTTGGTATATCTATATTATCGTAACTAAGAAAATCCGCTTTAAGTCCGCTCAAAAATTAAAAATACTGCAAATCTCATCGATTTCTGTCATTTCTGTGAATTGCATTTTGCATTTGCTTGTTATAAATCGTCGACGCTAAAGAATTTTATATTTAAAGTAGTATAGACCTGCAAAATTTAACGTCAAGCTAAAATATTGTAAAAGTTAGCAAGGTAATATTAAGGATTTTCGGCGAGGCAAGTCTTACCAACTTTTATTAAGTTTTTGGCGTTTTGAAACTCTATAATTAAGGTATGGGACGTGGTAAGGTATAGAACGTTGCAGAACAAAGCAGACGGCAACGACACGTGACCTTTCTTGTGTGTTCCAAGCTAACCGAAGAGGCGTCCCCCGGACCGGACGGGAGTTGAGGGTTGGATAGATGGCATTGGGGGGAGGGCCAGCCTGCCCTCCTTCCTCCCAGGCTGTGACACCCCCCCTTTTCCAGAAGTGTTGCCTGCACCCTCTTCGTCTCTCACCCACTCTCTCACCAGTCGATACCTTTACGCGACATAATCGGGGGCCGTGAGCCAAGAGGGTGGGGCTAAAGAGATCGAGAAGTGAGAGGGTTTCGAGAGCATTGTCGGGATACTAAAAATGTCTACAAATATGGACCCAACGAGCGCAATAAAATTTTTTTAAGGTAAGATGTCTCTTAAAAAGCATTAAGAGTAAAAAAAAATATCAAGAATTGTTCCAAAAAAGTGCCTTTAGCGGCCCGTAGGAGTGCACGATTTTTACGATTTAGGTACCAATCGAAAGGCTCTCGACGAGCTGAAGAAGCACGTTTTCTCCGATTTCCAATCCTAGAATTTTTGTGTTTAATAAATTATATTCCTCTAATAAATTTTCGGCATCATTTTAAAATGCTCGTAGTTGTACTTGTAAAAATCTGAATGTACACTCTTTATCCTAAGGCCTGTACATTTTTTTACATAGAGAGAAAGCGTTTTACATGATCGTAGACAAGAAGATTTCGTACAGTCGGACTTGTGGGAACCCAACTCGCGCTAAAATCGATGCGTGCCCGTTCGGGAGCGGCTCCTCGGCGCAAAATCGGAACAATATGCGAATGGATTCAGGCCAGGCTCGTACAAGGCACGGTATTATTTATTTTGGTTGATTTGTCTAGAAAAGTGATGTTAGATAGTGTAGGAGACTAGTATAAGTATCCCGTTCCAAACATTGGATCGGCAAAGACGAAAAAAAATGATTGGATACGATGAGTTAAAATACACGACTTCACGAAAAAGGATGACAGTAGTCCCCTATATGAAAAAAATTCAATCGAAGGAGAAGACAAATCAGAAACGTCGGAAAATCATTTTCCCATGCGGACGGTATACTGCAGCTCCCTTCCACCGTAATAAAATGTCGTCTTTGGTGTTTTGTTGAAGCTCGTGAAGACCTGGAAAGTAGCTTATAACTATTAGGAAGTAACACAGCATACCTGGTAAGCATGTGCCCATGTGCCGTAGGCGATTTGGGCTTCTAACTTGGTGCCTGCCCTACGCACGTTGATTCTGGAAATAGCAAAAAATGGCCATTGGTCGTTAGCGAAAAACCTGGGTTTCCCGTTGAAGTCTTGGAGAATCGGTGCATAAATTCCAAATTGCGAGTGAACAGTGTCCCTTGTCTCGGCCAATGCCAGCCCGGAAACGGTGATCCAAAAGTAACCATCCTAAAACGGTTGCGTACGGGGGTTCGGCGCAAGCGACACCCCATCTATAGTATTGGAGGAAGGTCTGAATGTCCGGTTTTTAGATTTAATTTTTTAATTTCAAGAGGCGATCCAGTTTAGAATCTTAGACTTATGGCCGATGGCTTAAACGTAGGCTTCAACTTTTAGGCTTGGGCTTAGACGTAGGTTCGGCTTTTAGGCTTAGGCGTCGTCGCAGGCTTATGCTAGGTTTCGTGGGCTTCAAAGAGATACCTAAATCATAGAAACCCGACTCTTACGAACGGCTAGAGAGGCGCTTTTTTGGGACACTGTAGTAACAAAGCGATAATTGGAAGGAGCCCGACCTCCTGGACGTCTTGTATAGGTCTTCGGTTGTCTGGCTTGGAGGGTCTTTTCATCCTAAAATTCTGATTTCTACTTTGTTGCGAAAACTTACCAAAGACTTGGCCTAAGAACTTGCTTTGTTCCCGGGAATTTCGTATTACGCAGCTCTTCGACTAACTGAAATTGCGTTAATTCGTCCTTTTGCGGCTATCGACAGATAGAGAGAGAGAGAGAGAGAGAGAGAGAGAGAGAGAATGCCAGAGAAAAAACCCGATTTGTATACCTTCTTAGCGGCTTGAACCGACCCTAACGTGACTTTTGCGACCCGATGGTTGTCTCCGCTGGAGACGAATTTCACCCTAAATTAGTTGCGTTTCAAACCTTAAAAGGTCAAATTAAAAGCTCACGTCGTGACGGTAGCCTTCGGGCTTATCAACGCTTTCACGTCGTCCTCGCTGCACCAGGGCGGCAGATTCTTCAGTGAAACAGCTGCTTCCGGCTCGCCGCCGACCTCCGAAGCTTTGGAGCATTCGGAGAAATTTTTGCTCCGTTGCGCCGCGGGGCCTGGGTTTTCGCGGAGATTCTCCGGTTGCGAAGAAGTCGGCAGTTGCTGCGTTCCGTATGTCGGGATAAAGGGCGTTAGCCTGGTCTGCGTGTTGTACGGCATTCTTAATGAACTTGCCTGCTCATCACGTAGGCGGATAGGCTCGGGCTGGTGACAACGTCCTCGTTTGGCTTCTTTGGGGTTACGATGCCCTAAATGGCCTAGTGTGTCTTCAACGGTACTTTCGGACCTGGTTGTCCTTGTTGGATTTCACGACTCGCCAATATTCGACGGATATGCGTTGATTGGTACCCGGGTAGCACTGGTTGTCCCATCGCCAAATTGCCTGCAAAATAACTAGGGTAACGATTGCCTATCAGATTAAGGTGCAAAAGAATCGCCAAAGGCCAATATTGAATGTATTTGTAGTGAATTTCAAATTTACAGAACTTTTTAGAACAGTCGTGTAATTCCCAAAAAACTTTGGATCTTTTAACCTATGGCCTTTTTTAGATTATAAATTCTAGACTTTGAAAATCAGAATTCTGTAAATTGAAATCGTTAAATCCATATTCCGAAAATTTGATATTCCGAAGAACACCCGTTTGAAGACAAGCTATGTCTCAAAAAAACCAACGACTCACCATTTCCGCATGGGACTCGTCCCTGAATTCCGCCACACAATGCGCCATGTCGTCCACCACGCGAATCCAGAGGCTGTTTAAAGGGATACCCAAGGTTTTGGTGGCAAATATATAGTTATGGATTCCGGGCAGTACAAATGACGCTCGAATTTTGTGCGGTAATAAGGCCCCCAATGCCGCACAGAATCCGGCCACCTTTCCCTCTTTTGGCGTCCCCATCCCATCCGATGGCTTGCCACTATGGCCTAATGGATAGCATCCAGGCCTGCAGAACGGGGGTCCCGGGTTCGACCCCCGGGTGCTGCATGGTTTTTGCTTTTTGAGCCGCGAAAAGGTTGGGCATCCCTTTAAGCGGATAGCGTAATCATTTGCGATCAGACAATCAAGTTTCAAAGGCACAAAAACTTCTTCGAAACTCACAACGTTTGAAGGGAATCGAAAAGTCTCGCCGCGCTTTCCTTTGTGATATCCTTGGGCAAGCCCCGCACCAACAGCTGAAAAAGCGAAAATTCTGGGATATTTTGCATTCCCAAAGCTGGAATTTTTGCCAAGCTCGAGCACTTACTTTATGCTTGACTGGGATCGTGTTCTGATTGTCGAACGCAGGGCCTAAAAAAGCTTAAGACTATTTTTTTGATGCTCACTGAATTTTGGCGGAGCCTCGCCGGGCAGTGGAAAAGCCTTGAGTTTCTTCTTCTCCCGTTTTAAACACTCGAAGTTCTCGAGAATTTGAGCAGAAGTCTAAAGTGAACATCAGTTGAGAGAGCTGACTATTGTAATGAAAAGCTCATTAAAATTGCGACCTCTTTCGAATCAGCTTTCGCAGTTATAACAGCGGTTCCCAACCAACGTGGCTCATCTATTCGAACGCTGCAAGTTGGTTGTTAAGCCTTGCACAAGCTTCTTATCTGCTTTTGTTTTCAACGAAAATGTTGATCACCTGGCAAGCCAATTTCCAAAAAGACGTCTTACTGAAGCTTCCGTAGCTTGTTCTGTGAGTCCGTATAATATGAAACACCGATCATTCTAAAAACTAGCTTTTGGCCTCGCTCGCTCGTGCCATCTCTCTCCCTCTCTCTCTCGCTCTCACTCTCCCGTCATCTCTCTCTCTCACTTTCTCTCTCTTTCTCTTTCTCTCTCTCGCTCTCTCCTCCGCCCACCTTCGGAATCTGCGTCTCTGGTTGATTCTCGACTTGCGTAGCGGGCCCTTCCAATTTTTGTAGCTTCTCGCCCAGCGCCTTCGATACTTGGGCTTGCAGACTCATCGATTTGCCGAGCTCGATACTATAAGCAGAAGTTTTAGACTTTTCTACTAAAAAACCAAGATTTGAGTGCTTCAAAAATTATGTTAGCTCACTGCAAATTGTCAATCTTATCCTGGAGCGTCTCGATTTGCTGTTGGCTTGCCTGGGAATTCGAGAGCATCATGTTGGTCTGGAATTTCTTAGGTAAGGAAATTTAACAGTTGAAGATTACCGATCGCGCCTCAATAGCCTCTTTTTCGCTTTTGAGGAGGGCCATTTGTACCTGCATCGCCTCCAGCTTTTTGGCGACTTCCAGCTTCTCACGATTCTAAAGACGGGTGTTTTACAGGGTTGTAATTGGATACCTTTTAACACTGTGTGTTTGTACAAAAAATAATTTTTTTTTTTCCGGGGCAATTTAAAAAAAAAAAAAAAAACCGACGGAAACCAAATATTCATACCAGTCACCCACTATTACTAAAACATTATTTTTTTTTAATTTTAAACTAAAGAAATTGGAAAACTATATACGCATTTACACGCACCTGGCTCGACTTGCTGGTCTCCAGATCTTTGAGGCGCTTTTGATACTCGTCAATCGTGCCTAAACATGGCTGTTTTTGAAAAAATTTTTTTGAGCCCGCCTAGCAAAGAATAGTTTTTCGTCTTCGTGGCGATTGGCGCACGGCACGTCGGGCACTTGGCGCTAAAATTGGGGGAATTAGGAAGGACAGCTTTGTTGGTTTTTGATGACATTTTGATCGGCTGCTCACCTTGTCGTTGTCATCAACCCAAAAGCTCCGCCGGAAGTGATACGCAGGCTCTGCTCGAGGCATGGCGAGCATAGCGTGTGGCCGCAGCCGAGCAGGTATGGGAATCGCGCTTGGGTATCTGAACATTAGGTTTAGGCCATTATCAAGCCTTCTAAAAGTCTAATCTAAAAAAACTCACATTTCTCAGTGCAAATCGGGCACTCAAAGTCGGCCATCGGACGACGTGGACTGTTCTGCGGATTTTTTTGATAAAATTATGGTAGTGAGAAGCGTCAAGCAAGGCAGAATAGGTGAAAGTCTTTGAATGGCAGACGGCCCAGATGTTCAAAATTTTAGTACGAAAGGTTCCTCCTTACGCTCCGCTTACGGTTTAACAAAATTACGAATTCGGCTCCCTGGCGGTTTATTAAAGGGAAAAGTAAGGTACGATTATATTTCTTTTGCCGATGAAAACTTTCTAGAACTTCTCGTACCCGCGACACGCACCGCATGGTTGGGCGTTCGAAACGCGTTGCGTGGAGAGCATATGCCTGTCCCGGGCCAAATTAAAGGAAAGAGCAAGACTGGATCCGGGCTGATCTATAATTGGTAACGACCAACCGGAAATGCTAATGCAAAAAATGAACAAAAAGTGGGGGCAAAGCAGGATGCAGCAGAGAAGATTTAAGCTAATTTTAGGACTAAAACCCGTTTTATGCTAATCTTTTCCGGGCCTTCCTTTGCGCTTTAAAGGAGCCCGCAAGACTTGCCTTGCAGAAAAACGACCGTGTCCACCCAGCTAACGAAAATTGAGGTGTTGTAAACATGCAAAGAACGTGGGCCAATGTAAAGAACGACCGGCGTCAGCAGCTGTTTTCGACAAGCGCCACGTTGCTCGGGAGTAGCCCCCTAAACTGATTTTCGAAGGTTTCCATGGGAATTGGTTGCAGGAAATTGGAGATGATTTTCGGTCGTGGGGAAGTACGGATATAGGCTGCAAGTTATGGTTCAAACAGTTGGAAAACAAGGAGGTTTGTTCGATAAAAATCACCTTGCGATCTTTTGAATTTTTTGGAAGTGGATGTGTCAAAAAAATTGGAATTAAGGACGCTCCACCGCGTACAACGATCCCATACGGCTATTTAATGCGACAATGCGAACAACTTATGAATCTGATTTTTTTTGTCAGCCTCAAAGACCTCAAAAATGATAGAAATTTGGTGGCAAAAATGCAATAATGCCTTTATTCCAAAGCCTGTACAGGTATGTGCATTCTTAAAAATTCTTAATGCATAAAACAAAAGAATATAACGCAAAAAGACAGAATTCGTATAGGTGGACTTGAAGGGAAATGCTCGCGATAAAATCGATGCCTGGGCGGCCGGGGGCGAATGGATCATTCGGCATAACATTGGGCGAGGGGCAAATGGATTCGGGCAAGTCATCTTAAAGGGGCCGGGAAAGAGCTGTATTTTTTTGTTTGTTTGATATGTATGGGGAAGTGTTAATTACGGGATATTTATAAACTACAAAGGCTTCACAATTATCTTAAAGCATCGCGATAAAAAAGGCGCTAAATCTAAATAATCATCTTGTAAAAATTTTTCTCTTCACAGATAAATTAAGCAAAATAGGTAAAGCCGCAACGATCCCAAATCAGTCTTTGTAGAGCAGCACGATCATCGTCCAATATATCCCGCTAGACGGATCGCGGAAAGCTCGACCCAGCATCACCTCACAAGCCTGAAATTCATAATTATATAGTTTTGCAGGTATATGGCAATTTTTTCGAGAATTTGAAATAATTTTTTTACTTTTTTAGCTCCTTGCTTCGTCTCGAAGTCGATGAAAGCTGATTGCGTGCCCTCTTTTTCCACGAGGACGATGCTGAAACGAAAAAAAATAATCGAGAGGAAGAGAAATAGAGAGAGATAGAGAGAGAGAGAGAGAGTGGGAGAGTGGGAGAGAGAGCGAGAGAATGGGAAAGAGAGAAAGAGCGAGAGTGGGAGGCAGTGAGAGAGTGGGAGAGTGGGAGAGATAGTGAGAGCGTGCTAGAGAAAAATAACGAGAGAGAGTGAAAGAGTGAGCGAGCGACAGACCGTTAGAAACCGACCCCGGGCTTCCAGCCTTATCCCTCGATATCGGAGCCACTTGCTCGAATAGGGAGACTACAGTATCTGCGGCAACGGATAGAGGAATATTCTCGGCGACGACAAAATTTTCCTTAAGCTCCCGATACTTTGTAGTAATAAATTCCTAACCATTTTAAGCAGCTCCTTATCCACAATCGTCCCATCATCCCAAAAGCCAATATTCTGAGGCTTGGCATTGGCCTTGCCCTTCTTCTTGCCCTTGGTCTTTGGCGGTTTCACGTAGTTGGGAATCCTGAAGGATACTAAATTAAAGGGGCAGAGAAGTGAGAAAATTGACCCCTTCATTCGGTGGGGGTCTCGACAGCTACACGACACCCCAATACACGGCAAGAGCCAGTTATGAATCTTATCTTGAAAATTTCTGGAGTCGTCTATTATCAAGACGCGTAGCTGTCAAAACCTAGCTGATCGAGGTTATTGATTTTTACACTTCTTAGACCCTTTAATAGAAACTTACCACAAGCTCGGCTTCAGGATCTGTCCAGATTTCGGATACCGGATGTTACTGAGCACATTCACGGCCTGAAAATACAGTCTTGATATTTTTCTCCAATTATGAAGGATTTGTAGAAACTAGGCTATATTTACAAACCTTCAGCGCAGCCTCTGCGGTCAAGAATCTCACTTTTGCACAACTGAACCAGTCTCCGGTAGCCACGAAAATAACTCTGAAATTGGTTCGGTGTACGGGAAGAGAGAGGGCGAGTGAGATAGATAGAGAGCAAGAGAGTGAGAGAGAGAGAGAGAGAGAGTGATGGAGTAGCTTGAAAACCCTTACCCCTCCTTCGATAAATCAATCTTCTCTCCAATTTTCGCCTCCAAGAAATTCGTCAGTTCAGCCACAGTTACACGTCCAGGTATGTTCTTTATGCAAATTGCCTTCGATCCGTGAATATTTTCTCTTAGCGTTTGCTCTTGTTTAGCGACTACTATTTTTTCCTTCTGGACGGTTTCCGGTTGACTTTTCTGGGAACCAACATTTCCGGTTGCCTTTTGAGCTGCTGTATTCGTAAAGATGGCCATTTCTAAAAATTTAGTTTGATTTTTTGCGAATTTTTCCGCGTACCAGTTTCCTCGGTTAATTCATCGATTTTTGTGGCGATCTTCCAATAATCGACAGTCAGCTGATGCTGGCTACCGGGATAGCATTTGCCGTTCCATTGCCAGATTAGCTAAAATTTGTGGATATTCGTGCTATCTGACTCCTTCTCACTCTCTCTCTCTCTCTCTCACTCTCTCTCTCTTTCGCTCTCGCTCTTTCTACTTCTCTCTCATTATATCTCGCTCTCTCTCATCTCTCTCTCACTCACCACCCACCATTTCCACTTCATTTTTGTCTTCAAACTGCGCAATGCAGTCGGTTTTTCCATTCGATTCTCGGAGCCAGATTCTGGAGATTACGGTTTTGCGAAGCGATGAGAGCGAGCAAGCGAGAGAGAGAGAGAGAGTGAGAGAGAGAGAGAGTGAGTGAGAGAGAGAGAAGAGATAGCTCTAAATGTACCTAGTAGGGGTTGCAGGGTTGTCTCCTCTCATGAAGAGGATCATCTCGACTTCAGATTCGGTGATTCCACCTGGTAGCCCGCGAATGAATAGCTAAAATATTAATAGATTGAGATAGCGGTCAAAGTTAATATTGTTAATCAAGGTAGATAAGCAAAGAAGCTTCCTTAAGACGTGGGACATTGAGTACTACTAACACGACAAATCGGGCCTTGCTGACCTTTTCCATTACCGGCTCAAGGCGGACGAATTCGATGTCTAAAACGAGCGTTGTTTAGTGGCATCGCTCTTTCTACCAGGTGGCTTTGCGACCTTCGCATCGACCGGAATCTCGGGCAAATCGACCTCTTCGGAGACGTCGTCAGAATCTGGGGTATATGCTGCCGAGGTCTCCAGGGCTTGGCTGTGCTCATCCAGCAGTTGATTGTACTTTGCCGTGACTTCACCAAGTTGATAGCTAAAAGTAGGCTTAACTGGCTTATCTTAGGCTTAGTTTAGGCCTAGCTTAGGCTTGGCTTAGGCTTAGCTTAGGCTTAGCATAGCCTTAGCTTAGGCGTAGCTTAGGCTTAGCTTAGGCTTAGCTTAAGCTTAGCTTAGGCTTAGCTTAGGCTTAGCTTAGGCTTAGCTTAGGCTTAGCTTAGGCTTAGCTTAGGCTTAGCTTAGGCTTAGCTTAGGCTTAGCTTAGGCTTAGCTTAGGCTTAGCTTAGGCTTAGCTTAGGCTTAGCTTAGGCTTAGCTTAGGCTTACCTTAGGCTTAGCTTAGGCTTACTTACTTATACACATCCACCTTGCTCTCAAGACGCTCGATCGTCGCCCGGTAAACGGCTTCCTGTGCGGCGAGGCGATTGATCTAAAGGTGTTGGTTTTTGGATTGTCGGCATTTTCTTGCTGTCGGTATTTTTATCGGTATTTTTCGGACTCACCTCCGTTGCCGCAGCCTGTTTCTGGGCCCGGCAAAGCTTCATCTTGTCCTCTATCTGCTTGTTTAGGTCGGCCATCTCGGCATCGTGGATATCTTTGGAAATCATCTAAAAAAATTAATATAGATAACTTGAGGTGAATTGAAAATTGAAGTAAGTACATAAAGATAAACTATACTTCTTTTTTTCGAGCCTTCTCACTTTCCGCTGCTTGCTTGGCGACTTCCGCCAGTCGCAACTTTAGTTTTTTAATCGTCTCCGCTTGGGCATCTTTTTCGAGTTGCTAAATAAACCAATAAATAATAATTTCGTGCTTTCCAGCTTTTCCAATTACATCAAATTAACGTTTTTTTTGCCAACTGGTTTGCAGCCATTACAAATTTGTAAAACTAGCCTCTTTCCCCCGATTCTGGTCGTTTACCATCACTTTCTTGCCCATCTCCACCAGCTGAGCTTTCAGGCCGTCAATTTCTTTTGACATACGTTCCTTTTCGATCGCCTAAAATTTAATTTTTCGAGTAGTAAGGGCGGTAAAAATACGCTAAACTTACATTTTTTTTGTCTTAACCCATTTAAAACCGACCGCTTGATTCAGCTCCGCCTCCTTCTCCTTGCCTAACTTGGCCAGCTCGCCCAGATACCCCTTCATTTCGTTGATTTGGTTTTTGAAACACTCTTTTTGAATAACCTAGAGCAATATTTTAATAACCATAGACGCCAGCAACCTACCGTAGTCGATTCTGCAGCTAATATGGCTTTATTCGCGGCTTTCAGGTCCTTTTTCGCCGTTTCGAGCTGATTGTGTAGTTCCTCCTGATCGAAGCTCTAGAAAAAATCTATAATTTCAAGCTAGACGAGCTTGCAGAGTTTCTTTAGGAATTCCCGAAACTTCACTTGACGAAGTTAAATACGCTAAAATTCTTCAAAAAGCTAAAAAATTGCAAAAAAATTACCATTGTTACGCAGTTTGCGTTGACTTGCTCGAGCTGTTTTCGCAGGTCTTTGGTATTTGCTGGAAAAACCACCGTAACCGTAAGGTTCTGACATACCCAAAAATGCGGCCATTATTGCGTCAATGCCGTAGATTGCGCCGCAATGACGGCAACAGCTAAAAAATTGTCCAAATTTAGCTACTTTTGGTAAAGCATTTTGGTACCGTGCCACTATGCACGTTACGGTTGAAATCTATGGCTTTATAGGTTTGCCATCTTAGGTCGAAATTCCTTTGTCAAAAATACATTTTTCCGATAATAATTTTGTCAAAATTTTATTTTGGGAATATTTTATTGGAGCGAAATTTAATTTTATCAAAATGTCCTTTATCAAAAGATATTCAGCTCAAACGTGTATAAAATTTGAAAATAACAGATTTTGGAATTGTACCGATATGCCCTTAGGATATTGCGAATTTGTGGTATGTACGTACGCTTCAGGTATTGTTTTTGGAGCGCGCAAAATAAGCCGAAAAACCGACGTATGATCATGCGTCATCAGACTCCTCGCGACGCACGACTCGCACAGTGGGTGGCCGCAGGGCAGGAATTTCGGGTGCAGGTTGGCGTAATCTAAATCGGCAAGCTTGATTGGGTTCTGTGGCCGTATCGGGGGGGGGGGGGGGGGGCTTTATCTTTCGCATAAAATTTTCTAATATAAATAGGGAAAGTGTTTCTGGACTGCTTTTTTCGATTTCTGGCTACGATTTGCTACTTCCCCCTTCCAGCCGGACGTTTTTGGTTGTAATTTTTTTATTTACATTATTTTAGGCTAAAATTAAAACCTTGCGTATGTTTTTCGACGCTGTATCGAAAGTCGTTTTAAAAATTCCGAGAAGATAAGCGAAAATATCGAAAACCTTGCGATCTTTTGGCTGTGGGGGTGAAGGTGTAAAGTAAACACTTAACACGATTTCTAAGTGCAAAAAGCAGGAAAAAAGCGTTCCCCACTCCCATAGTGTCATACGATTTTTAGTATATTTCCAATCAATATTATTTTGGTATTATTGAGTGTTTTCAAACTCACATTTCGTCTGGCAATACGGGCAATTCGAATGCGTTTCGGCCGTCATCGGGCCCTGAAACGGAGCTGAAGCTGAGTTCGGTTGGTCTTTTTTGAGTTCTGAAATTTTTGAGACGAGGTCCTGAATTAATTGTTGAGGGCGGCAGTGAATTTTTCCATAGAATAATTTTTACGAGTTTGGGTACGGTCGAAAATGTGAAAATCTGTGATGTTGGGCAGTGGTGGTGCATCAAAAATGGGTGCCGCGTGAAGGTGAGAATTTTGGGGCTGCCGCACACTATTGCCATTTTTTAGGCATAATTTACGTACCCTGGGGAGCTCTCATTTGACCCGTCATCAGCACCTGGTACCTAGCAAAAATTAATTGCTGCCGCCCTAGTATCGCTGTCGCTAATAAGAGGCGCGCCAAAATTTGAATGCGGATAATTAAGGAGCAGCTGGACAGCTCAATTTTTAACTTTAAGTAATTTGCATATTTCTAAAGTTTTTCTTTACTTAAATTTTAACAGTTTGAATAGCATTTCCTAATTATATTTCAAGGATTACAAATTTTAGTGAATTTGAACTAATAAAATTTGGGTGTTCCTAAATTCTGCCCAAATATAGATCTTAAAATTCGCATATTTGCATATGTTTATGGATTTTTCTATGTACGCTAGGTGCGCCATTTTTTCTATCTTAATCCATGGCTTCTCCTGGCAATTTCCGCCACCCGTTCTTTGGCTTCCTCCCCGAACGCTTCCAATCCAATGCGAACCCAAAATTTGGGCCATAAATCCCCCGGTCGGCGCGTAATTCTCAGCCACAAATCACGACGCCCCCGCTCGAATGGCTTTTCGACCCGGAATCATTGGTAAATCGGGCAAATAATATTTTTAAATTTTTAGCTCGTTAAGATAGAATTAAAGCCAAGATCGGCCCCTTTAATCGACTGGGTCTAGACAACTACGTGCCACTCCACAATACACGATCAAGCTAATCTGGAATTAGGCTCAAAAGCCTGATTTTCTTTGTTTTCCTTCGTTTCTTTCCGTCTTTTGCCTACATCTTCTCTCTCTCTCTCTCTCTCTCTCTCTCTCTCTCTCTCTCTCTCGCTCTCTCTCTCTTTCTCTCGCTCTTTCTCTCCCTCTCTCTCACTCTCTGTCCCTCTCTACCACTCTATCTCTCGGTTTCCTTCTCTAGCTCGCTATCTTTAGCTCTCTTTTTCTGACGCTCTCCCGCGCCATCTCGCTCGCGCTCTTTCTCTCTCTCTCTCTCTCTCTCTCTCTCTCTCTCTCTCTCTACCCTCGCCCTTTTTCTCTCGCTTTAGCTGGCTGCCACTCTTTCGCTCAATTCCTCTCTTTCGCATCATTTCCCGGTTTCTGGTCCCCTTTTACCCAAAAACATTCCGCTGCAAAATTCCCGGGATCGCCTTTCTGGGCTGACGGGGTTGTCTAGGCAGGGGAAGATGGCGGAAATTAGTTTGATTGCCACCTGAGCAGATGGCCGTCCACAATTTGTAGGGCCCCTTCTTGGAGCCGGACAGTAACCATGGGATACGCAAATCGGAATGGCCGGCTCCTCGCCTTGATTCCCGGGATTTGGCCTTCTCATCTGAGCTCTCCATTCCTCCTCACATCACGATTTCCGAAAATTGCAAAGACGTAAACAGGAGCAGTGCGGACGGAAAGTGTGGCTTTATAGCCTAGTTCAATGAAAATTTTGATTGAAAGCCTGGCGGGTGAGCACTTTAGCGGTACCTGGAGGGGCTTAATAAATAGCTTGCTAGAAACCAAATGATGACAATGGTACAGTATCTCCTGGGAAAACTTATCTAACTCCTTGAAAAAAAAAGAGGGCATAGAGAAAAGCCACAACATTTGGTTTTTGGGCTTTAAATGGGCCGTAAATGAGGAACACGGTATCTGGTCGCATTCTCTCTCTCACTCTCTCTCTCGCTCTCTCTCTCTCTATCTCTCTCTCTCTCTCGCTCTTTGAAGTTCTTTCTCTCTGCCTTCTCTCACACTCTCTCTCACGCTCTCTATCTCTATCTCTCTCGACCTTCTCCTTCACTCTCTCACTCTCTATCTCTTTCCATCGCTTTCTCTCTGCCTTCTCTCTAACTCCCTTTCGCTCTCTCTTTCTTATTTTCTCTCCCTCTCTCTCTCTCTCTCTCTCTCTCTCTCTCTCTCTCTCTCTCTCTCTCTCTCTCTCTCTCTCTCTCTCTCTCTCTCTCTCTCTCTCTCTCTCTCTCTCTCTCTCTCTCTCTCTCTCTCTCTCTCTCTCTCTCTCTCTCTCTCTCTCTCTCTCTCTCTCTCTCTCTCTCTCTCTCTATCTCTCTCTCTCTCTCTATATCTATCTCTCTCTCTCTCTCTCTCTCTCTCTCTCTCTCTCTCTCTCTCTCTCTCTCTCTCTCTCTCTCTCTCTCTCTCTCTCTCTCTCTCTCTCTCTCTCTCTCTCTCTCTCTCTCTCTCTCTCTCTCTCTCTCTCTCTCTCTCTCTCTCTCTCTCTCTCTCTCTCTCTCTCTCTCTCTCTCTCTCTCTCTCTCTCTCTCTCTCTCTCTCTCTCTCTCTCTCTCTCTCTCTCTCTCTCTTGCTCTCTCTCTCTGTTGATCTCTTCTTTTTTTGGTAGATGATGCGCTACCAAGAAAAAGTTTTTTTGGATAACAAAAACATTACTTAATAGTGTTACAACAGGTATTTTCAAAAATTCTAGCACTGACACGCCAAAAAGAGCGGTGAGTAGCGCAAAATTCAAAGCCACATGCAGACGCGCAATTGGTGAGGTTGCGCAAGGTAGCACCGCTCATCGACAATCTGAGACCGATGCTAAACCTTGCTCATCACCACCCATCGCGCTCGATGCATCATCTCTGCGGTTTTTCTCATGCGTTTTTTTGACCTGTCAGCGATGGATGCAAAGTGCAGAGGCTGTGAGGGGGGTCGTCGCGTGAAACGGCCCGGAAAAAACAAGGACAGCGATGGGGGATGGATGGGGTGTTTCGCATCTGTGTGAAATTCAAATTTTCTTCGGGTTTGGAAATACTAGTATTCGCCCTTCAGCTATTAAAGTTTAAAGCTAGTTTCACTATGGCAAGCAGCTAAGGGTAAATTTTAATCCGAAGCAGTTAACAAAAAAAAAATAAAATGCTTTTGCTTTTGCTTCTGGTCTTACCGCGACTTATACGCACACTATGTCTATTATTAATTTTTTAAATGTAGTTTTATATTGTCTAGGCGTTTTTTATTGTAATTGAAAGCTATGAAACAACTTTAAAAACTTTGAAATGTGAAAAGTATTTATTTTTTTAGGCCATTTTTCATCCATTTTTAACCAAAAAAAATCAGAAACTTTCAATAAATTGCTATAATTTTTTATAAACGTTCCACATCTAAAAATACTATAAAATACTATCAAAGAATTGTTTATATTTCATTATAGGGATTGTAAAAAACCATAAAAGGAAGAAACCGTAACCGTAAATCGTAAAAGGCTATTGGGATTGGAAAGTTGCCCCCGCTGAAGGGAAAGAACCGAATTTTATATTGCAAGGTGTTGTATTTTTTGTAAAACCAGTTTTTCAAGGAATTTATAGATTGGAAAATCCTATAATATCAAATTAAAACAATTCAGGAATTTAGCAATTCTAATTTCATTTTTACGCAGCCTCCTAAGAAGCCGATTAAACCTCCATTAAACCAGCGCGTGGTCTAGAGTAATACACTTCACCCGCGGTCACCCCGAATTCCAAAATGGTACGATCAGTAAGTCTACTATTAGTAGTATTAGCAGTATTAGTATTAGTAGTAAATAAGTAAGTAGACCAATTGCGCCGATTAGTAAGTACATTAGTAAACAAACATAGCAAAATGGAGATTTTCTGGCGCCTTTTTCGGGCGAATTAACCTGTACAAAAGTAAGATGTCGATTACGTCAGTTAATTCATTGATTAATAAAGTCTGAGCACCAGAAAAATCTCGACATAAAAATATACCTTCACCCCGGCCACGTGCAGACAACTCGCGGTCGTCATCGATAGCTTTTACAGGCAGCCGTCGAGGCCGTCGGATGGTGGGAATATGGTCCAAAAACAGGAGGAGATCAATAATCTACAGGCTGCCCCGGAGAAAGACAGAGACAGAAGCCGGGCGCCTTGAGCCAGCAGCGACTGACTGAGAATCGAGCCGGTCTACCCCACAAATTTATGCCAGGCCGAGGCGAAGGCCAGGGAAGAGGCGGGCCCTACCCTGCCTGCCCAGCTTCGCCCCGGCCCCCCTTGGATTAGTCATAGTGGCGGGGCGCGAGAAATGGCCCGGACAAGATCGTGAGGATAGATAGCCCGGCGCCTCAGATTGGCGGAGCCGACACCAATTTCCTCTTCCGATCCATCCTCGCCGCCGGATAATCATCATCCGGGCCACACACCTGCTTGCCCTAGCTAGTTAGGCACCGGCCTCATTTATAGAAATTGAGCTCGAAAAAGCGTGATTGGAAAGGGACGCATGTGCATAGAAACTGAACACATTTGGCTGGATCCGGAAAGCCCAAATCGTTAGGACAAGGCAGCTGTAAGGGGAAAAAAATCGTGGTAACGGGGGCCTTTCTTTACTCATACAAGGAGTGCTTCTTCTACTAGCCATCGTGAAAATGGTTTGTGAAACAACTCGTTCGCCAGAGCATTGAAAGCTCGACGAGGTACGATGGGTGATTACTACAACAGACAGATTTTGTTATTTCCTCTCTCCCTCCCTCTCTCTCTCTCCCTCTCTCTAACTTTGCCTCTATCTCTCACTTCATCGCTGTTTCGTTCATTGTCTCCTTCTCGCACGTTCTGGCACTAACGCCGGCTCGCAATTCTGGCTATGTCACTCTCTCTCACTCGCTCTCTCTCGCTATCTCTCTCTCTCTCTCTTCCGCACTCTCCATCACTCCCCCTCTCCTGCTCCTCTCTCTTTCGCTCTCTTTTTTCTCTCAATATCTCTCTCGCTCTCTCAATCTCTCTCTATCTCTCTCTATCTCTCTCTCTCGCCTTCTCTCTCTATCGCGCTCTACCTGTCTACTCTGATGCTCAAGCTGCCCATTATTCTGACGACAAGGCGATCGTCGGAAAACCATGTAATGTTGTTGCCGCGAGCTCATCATGTTTACATCGGACTGAAAAACGGTGACGTACCAGTGTCCGGATCAAACATTAAAACCATTTGTATTTTTGAAAAACATCGAGAGAGAGAGAGAGAGAGAAGGAGCGAGAGAGAGAGAGAGAGAGAGAGAGAGCGAGAGAGAGAAAGAGAGAGAAAGGGATACAAAGTGAGAGCCAGTGTCTGAGGGACACGATTTTTGAAGTAATTTGAAGCTCTTTCAGGAAGTACCGTCTAGTATTTGAACCGTTTTATTGCGCTTTTTGCCACTAAAATTAGCATAAAATGATTTATTTACAACAAAACACCCAAAGAATTTAACCCGTATTTGTACACGCAACGTAAGGGGTGGTGAGCGGAATTTTGGAGCAAAAAAGCTTAATAAAGGCAAACCCACAAGTCATCAACCTCAATGCAACTTCCTTTTCTCAGAAATTGGCCGCAAATGGCACGAAATCAGCCGGAAAATTTTCCACGTACAAAAGATCACTACAGAAATTGTCAAAAGCAGCGAGAAGCTGATAAAAAGAATAACATCAACGAGGAAATACTCGATAAAGGACAGGCGGCGACCGTAGGGCTCGAGTTCGGCGAGTCGACCGAATCTGCAACAGGAGGCTTATACAGGTTTAAGCTGGCTGTAATTGTAAGCTAGCGAAAAAGCCGACTTTTTATCCCTGTGTGGGTCGTTAAAATTGGATTTTGGGGGACCGGAAGTGGCGAGGGATACGAAAAAGCGGATTATATTTTCCAGGCTTCAAAAAAGTTTAAAAAAACGCTTTGCAAAAATGTGAAAAATATGGTTTTTTGACGAGTACCGTTAAAACCAAAAAAATCAATTTTGAGCCGTTTTTATATGTAAACTAATTTTTTATTAGATATCCTATTATTTTGTTTATAAAATACTCTGTTTTTTCCTCGAAAAAATTCGAAATAAGACTCACTTTCCGACAAACTCCACATTCCTAACCAGCAGCTCCTGGGGAGAGAACGGAGCGCTCTGGAGGTGTGTGGATAGGCGCTTCGCGTTGGCGTCGAGGCTGAACATATAGTATTATATCGAAAAATCAGCTCAGTTTTTATTATTCAACTTAAGGTTAAGGTATCATTAAATATAGGTGATGAAAGCTCTTACCTCTGATCCCTCAGCGCCTTCCGGATCGTTTCCGTCAGTTTCTTGGCGTTGCCTAGATCCTTTTTGCTGAATTCAGCCGCAACACCGTGTCTTCGCATCATCATCGCGTTTCTTGGTTGATCAGCAAAAAGCGGGACAATCACCATAGGGGTTCCACTAAAAAAAGCGATTATAAGGGGGAGTGAGAGTATAATTTCAAACGACACCGAAAGTTAAATTGTCATAAGCTGTCGTATAGATCACTTTAGAAATTTGCAAATGAGTATTTAAATGTTTGCATTTCATCAATTTAAACCTTAAAAACTAATTTAGATTTTTCGTAATTTTCATACCTGTAAGAAGCCTCATAGCAGCTTGCCAACCCTCCGTGAGTCACGAAAAGCGAGATTCGGGAATCGCCTAAAATACATATTTTTTTTATTTATAAGTTTCAAATTTACAAATTTTTCATCTTTATTACGAAAATTCCTTAATCAAAGTTAAAAAAATCCAAAGTGAAAACTCACGCAAAAGCTGCGATTGAGGGGTCCATTTGCTCAACAGGAGATTTTCAGGGGCGTGCAGGATATCATCTCCCTCGTACTTCCAGATGAATTGAACTTCTGAAAAGTCTGATTGCTTTTTAGAAACTATCAAAAAAATGGATAAAATAAAATTAATAAAAGGGAGTACTTTAAGAAGTTGAGAAAAGTTACTGGAGTACCTTGATTTTCAATTTTTTCTGATTTTGATTTGCAAAAAATTATCAAAGCATTCGCGTTTCGTTTTTAGCTCCAAAATCTAACCCACTTAATCAAATTCTGTTGCATTCCCTTCCTCAAAAATGATTGCCCCAGACGAGCTCAAAAAAATCCCAAAAAACCGCACCGCCCTATTTTCTATACATTACCGGGGTGGCCGGGTATTAAAAAATTATGCAGCACCCAAAAATGAAAACCCTACCCGGCATATTCCTGGCCGTGTCGACGATGCTCCTCTTCATTTGCATGGGCATGTCGGCAGCTTTGATCACCGAGCCGAACGAGATGAGGACGGTACGGCGTTTGCGGTTTAGGATGGAATTCCAAGTGGATGGCAGGGGGGAGGGGTCTTTTTTGATGCCGAGACCTCCGACTTCTACCACTTTCGAGATGAGCGGATGCGGGAAATCGACGAGATGGTGGCTGTTGGTGATCATCAGAGCCGAGCGGGAGAAGAGCTCCTGGAAAATCAACGTTTTCTCCCGTTCAATCGCTCTCCCTCTCTCGCTCTCTCTCTGTCTTCGTCTCTCGCTCGCTCTCGCTTTCTCTCCCTCGCTCTCTCTCTCCATACCTGCATGCTAGGGAACTCCTTCCCAAAGCGCTGCCGGAAAACGGCCGTCGTCTGGTCTACGCATCCGGCAAAAGCGTACGACCCGACCATGGTGCCCAGGCTGTTAGCAAGACGTTCAAAAAATGACATTCGGTCCATCGTTGGGGACATACCGCCTGAAAATTAAAAAGTAGTGAACTCGAGAGAGAGAGAGAGAGAGAGAGAGAGAGAGAGAGGAGATGAGAAAGAAATAAGAGAGAGGGATGGAAAAGATACCAATATTTACCTGGAACGTAGCTAGGAGCTGTCGGAACACCGAGCATCTGTGCCTGATGGTCGTACATGATCGTCGTGCTGGTAGCGATCACCTTTTTCAAGCCGATCGCTTCGAAAATTCCTAAAAAATGGAAGATTATAATAGCTTATAAAAATAGCCGCCTTATTAAAGATAGCCGCTTCAAGATTCAAAAAAAGCACAGAAATATATTTACATCTCAAACCTATTAGAAATTATTACGATTTTTGGTATTTTTGTTCTCCCGGCATCTTTAATACCAAAAAAAAAGCTTAAGACTCACCAAATCCACAAAAATCAAAGCCCTCGTTGATGCCGACGTCAAAGTGCTCGTACTTCAGCTCTTGGAGTACGCTCGAGTTTGTGATGACAGCGCGGCATTGGGCGGAAAACATGCCGCCGAGGTAGGAGAAAAGCTGAACCAGTTCTTTTTGTCCATTTTTTGGATAACAAAATACTACTATACTACCATTTACTTTGTTCTGTAATACAATAATATATGGTTTTAATATCATACCTCAATCATTCCGGTTGGAGTAGCCTCCATCTCCCATAACTTTGGGTAAATCCCGCCTGGGTTGATGAGCTGGTCCTAGGAAAATAATATCTTAAAATTCCGTGTTACGACAACTTACATTCATAGCAGTTACGGTAGGGTCAGCCTCAACCGTGATGACGCGGCGGCTGTTGGAAAATTTTTGGCCCAACAATTCGGCGTTGAGCACTTGGCGGAGCTCGACCTAAAACAACGAAAGTGAAGTTGTTTACGCAGATTAAAAGTCATAATTCATTTATTGGATTTGTCATCTTCTTTTTGTTAAATTGTTGTTAAATTAAAAGGTGTTAAAGATCTTACAACTTGATGCCCGGCTTCCGTCAACACATCAGCCACCCGTCCCATAAATCTCATGTGGCTGAGCGCGAAATAGGGGTTGACGATCAGGATTTTTAGACAAAATGCTGATTGGAGGAGGAAGGCAGTTGTGTAGAGGAGAGTTTTGTACATTTTCTAAAACTATAACGGCGTTAGTAACGTTTGCATACGGTATCGAAAAGAAAGATGCTCAAAATCTGAAAAATTCGAAATGAAAGAAAATGAAAAAGAATTCGAATTCGTAGTTGTAGAAACAACAAATCATAGGCAAGACCAAGTCCAAAAAATTGTATAAAATTCAAAAACTGTGATTATTCGAAAAACCGCAGTTTCAGGCCTTTTCTGGGTTTTTATGCTAGTTGCAAATTTTCTAGTTTTTACAGTAGACACCTCTTGTATTTCTTGGAACCGGCAAAATTTGCTGAAAAAAATGGAAAAGGAGCGCCAAGAAAAACACATCGATGGTCGTCATCGTCTCAAAAATTTTAGAAACTTTGGCCTACAAATAATATGTTCTTTCTTAATTAAAACAATAAACCTAGAAAATTGCGGAAAATACGATTCTTAGAGGTTTTTGAAGTTTACAAAATTTTTTAAAGTTTTTATAGATACAGAAAAGGCAAAATTTGATGGATTAAACAAGTTGTCTGCAAGATTACGGTAAATTTTTCGGTTTTCGACTAAAAATCCTAACAAAACGGAATCTATAAAACGGAAGACCTATTAAGCATTAAAAACACGACATTAACCCTGCTACCGTAACCGGTAGCCTGGAAATGTTTTGTTTTTCTGTCAACGCTGTACGAGGCGCTACCCCGACACGACCCGAGGATCACCACCGCTAACCCGGCCAATTTATACCCGCTCAACCACCCGCACTACGTCACGCTCCAGCCGTGACGATCTGCCGACGATCCCTCCAAAAAAGAGGCGTGAAAAAATGCAGCTTACTGTAGCGGGAGACCGATTCGGGAACCGACGCCCGAGATCGAGTTCAAAATGTTACAAACGTTCTTTGTTCCGGATTATCAATGGAGATTTCAGTTTCTCTATCGAGGTATTCCTTGGTTTAGTCTTAAATGTCTCCCTCCCCACTCTCTCATTCTCTCGCTCTCGCTCTATCTCTCTCTCGCTCGCTCTCTCTTTACCTCTCTCGCGTTCTGTTGGTGTCTCGTCTTTCTCACTCATTCTTCGATACGTGGGAAATTCAATAACGTTTCTACCTGGATTTCAAGACAGCTTTACACTTTTTTGGCTAACCTGGTTTGCTACGTTATGCTACCCTTTTTTTATTTCACAAATGACATGCGCCTTGCTAATACCATCCCTTTAAGAAAACCAACATAAACCATTAAATGGGAAATACTCTAGCAGTTTTTCTATCTTGGCTTTTCTATTTTCTAATTGTCTATCCTCAAAATTTTTCTATCTTCTAAAATTCTTTTAGCGTTTTTCCATTTTTGCCAAAATTGTGCATATGTATCATGGAACCCTAAGGCCGTTTGAGGTACGACTTTCACCGACCCATTTCAATCTAACGCTTTTTTGTTTTGTTTTCGTTCTTCGGTCCGCGCTCTACGAAAGCAAGCGGCTACGGTAGAGGATCATATGGAAACCACGGCTTATGGAGGCCCTGTGGAAACGGCGTGGGTACTGTAGCAGCCCTGCATGCTGGAAAATAACGGGCTGAATTTGAGACCGGTTCGGATCTTTACTTTGTTCTTTGGCATATACCTCTACATCATCACCATTTCTTCAAAATTAGAGACGATTCACGATTCGTGAACCTGCAAGCGGGGTCCGGGTCGCAAGTCACAACCTAAGCAGAATCTTCCTTGGAACCTATGTACAAACTAGCAAATTAATGGAAAGTCGGATTTTAACTACAGCTGCGCTGATCGTAGCAAAAGATTGCAAAGCAACGCCAGTTTAGCTTGGTTTGCTTTCGCGGTAAGGTGTACTAGCTTGGCCTTGCCACAAACAAAAATTACCAAGGTTTCCATTCCTGCCATGACTTCCAATTTATCTCACGCGTAGAATTGATGATGACCTCCCATAGATTTTTCTCATGGAAAGCAAATTTTTTTCAGACGTGGGATAGCTAGAACTGTTGACTTTTTGTGCATGTGAAGACAGCGGTGTTCGATCGATCCTGACTTCAAAGTCCCTTTCAAATCCAAGCATCGTTTCCGTTTCGTTCGTTCGTTCCGTTTGCAAGAACGTCCAACCTAGAGCTTCTGAGATTAAAAGTTGCCGTTATAGAACGCTATCTGCACGCCAGTTTCTCGACCCATCAGAATTATTTTTCTCAAATCCCTCTAAACACCGGGATCATTTTGCTTTTTGCATGCTATTTTAAATTGGAATTCCGCCTTATGCCGAGCTGATTCCTCCAAGTTTTTGTTATACTTCCTAGCCCCTTTAAAATCTGCCTCTTTGACGCCCGAACACCGATTATTCTGATACCCTGTTTGCAGTTCCACTCCAACAACCTGACCTCACATTTTGCTTACACCCAGCCTTGCTTTTCCCTCTAAAAGCCCCCAAACTCCTCTACAGAACACAGATCACTCGCCTATCCTCCCTGCTGGGTCCTATATTTGTCGCAATATCCCCCTTTTCAACCCTGTTGTGCTGTGTAGCGAGGCTGCAAATGAAGTTGGTCCCTCGTCGATCTCTACCGTACCCTCACCTCGCTTGATTCACGTGCTCGTCTGTGACGTAGTGGCCAGTCCCTTGTTAGTCCTACTCGTCGACAGCCGACACCCAGATAGATCCCTGCGAGTTTCAGAAGATCGACAACCCGCGCGCGGCCTGACGACCCAATTTCCCGGTCATAGCTCGACAAGTTTAATTGGCGTGTTCGCTGTGACGACACATTTGAGTTGGTGCCAATTTTTGGGATCAGGATGGACTGAGGTTCCTGAGCATAAGTGGATGGACTGGATATTAGAATCAGCCATAAGAACTACGTAGTAGCCTTTTTTTAGATGCACAGATAATGGATAACTTTTCGGTGTTGTAGGCTATGGCTTATGCGGCGATTTGATACACGACCCGTTTCTCGCGAAGCTGGTGTTGAAACGCTTGAATTCATATAGCTGCCACTTTTCACGTCTCGTACGATATCACAGAGACTTAACTTACAACTCGATTTATTAATAAAGAGAGCGAGAGGGAGTGAGAAAGCAAGAGAGAGAGCGAGAGGGATATTTAGATGCCCACGGCGCTCGGTATATTGCATTTTTCTGCCGTCCCAGCCTCTTTAAAATCAGCTAAAGCACCAATTTCGAGATATCTGCACCTAAATTCCCGGCCGATATTGGCATTATATCCCAGCTTTAATGCAGATGTTATAATTTTATTTTTTACAGTTTATCCAGTTTTAACAGCTTTCATTCCAGGGTCTTTTTGCAACTATCGTATTCATTTCTAGTCAAAAGGTGAGACTCTGGGATCGAGCATCGGTGATGATGGGCTTTCCCAGCAGTCGTCGGAACAGATTATTTGTGTCCCTCCACTGAACGCGTAGCCCTTCCCGCATACTGCTCGAGCAGAGGTAGAGCATCTAAAGAACGTGACTTTGGGGGCTTTTGTAGTGAACGTGACTTTCTTTCTCAAAAAGCTGGATTTTCACTTTGGAGCCGATTTGCGATTTTAAAATTTTCCAGGTTTTGAAAAACATATTTTTAGTCATCTATGACCAAATTTATAGGTTTGGTATTTCAATCCGGCGTTTTACAAACTTTTGAAGCATACCGGTGCTACCGAAGCGCAGAGAGGCCTGCCGTAGTAGGAGAGATTGGCGTTGAAGCGCACGTCACCGAGGCTAAAAGTAGCTTTTATTTTTGGGCTTTTGGCGTGTTGTTTCATGGTTATTAAAACTCACTTGATTTTGGTGCCCATCCAAAAGCTGGCGTACGTGAAAATCAATTGGCTAACGAAAACGGATAACGATATTGCTAGGATTAGGCGTTGTTGCTTGACATATTTTGGTGAGAGCTAAATTAACGCCAATTCTTGCGAACATTAGTAAGTTAATTATGAATGAAAGAATACTTGAAATGAATTTTTAATTTCCGTAACCAAATTCCTCGTTCCAAAGCGGCCGTACTTACCCGTATGATTTTGAAAGCACAAATCACGTAGAAAGCGGCGGATACCAAAATAGCAGCAAAGAGCAACACTACGCGTGGATACTAAAAACGCTCGGATAAATGAGGGTCCATGATTTTTCCGTGTTTTATAAATATCGGCTGGCCACTTGATTTTTGGGTTTTCACATGATAATGTCATATTTTTTTCGAAAAATGTCCCTATTTTACTGAGAATAGACGGTAGGGAAGTCTTTAGGCGGATCGTGACGGTTGCATTTTTACGCTATTTTTCAGGTATTTAACTTTGAAATGTAATGAGCAATGGATAAACTAACTAACTTGTGGCCACGCATACTCTTCATTATACCCAAAAGGCGTAAACCAGATCCGGCTGATCTGCTCGTTAATGTGCAGAAAAAAATATCGCCAATCCGAAAGCTACCGAGAATATAGCTCCTCCAATTGGGATCCAGCGGTTTTGCTAAATCAGAGATACAATCTTCAATCTTTAAATTACAAGTTCAAAACTTGCCATAATTTGTTGATTACTTACCTGCTCCTCGTCCATATGCGTAATTTCATAATACCGTAAATAGGCCATAAGCAAATTTGTGCAAATTAGCATATCTTGGAGTCCACCACCACTCCCTTGCCAAATTTGATTCAAATCTACGCGGAAATTGATCGCGCAATCGACAACTGGCCCTAAAAATTTTTGTATTTCCTAGGAATGCTTGCTCTCTCTCCCTCCCTCTCTCTATCTCTCTTCCTCTCTCACTCTCTTTCTCTCCCACTCTCTCACTCTCGCTGTCTTTTTTCTTTCACTCTCTCTCTCTCTCGCTGTCACACTCTCTCGCCGAAATACCTTTAGCAGACATGATCAATGTCGTAAAGTCAGCAAAATACAGTAGCCAGACGCAGACTCGAAAATTCAAATTCAGCCGCTTCATCGACAACATCAGGTAAAGCAGAAAAGTATACATTATCAACATTATCAAATTATAACAAGCGATTACAGTAGTCTCGGGCAAAGAGATAAAATACGGCTCGCAAATTGGGTCATACCAGGATTGGATCTTAAAAATTGCCTATTGCTTTGAATATAATTAATTTTAAATGTTTCATAGTGTTTCTTATTTGTTTTTATTCACTTTAAAGGTATCCTAAAGCTTACAATAATCCCAATCAGCTCGAAACTGGCCGCCCAGCCCGGTGGACAGTCCTTGAAATTCATGCATTCCGGGCCGGCGAGCACGGTGTAGGATACGTTAAATTCCTTGCTGAACATATCGTACTTCTTCATGTTCTAAAAATAAAGCTTAGTTGGATTTAATAACACAAATAATATTACAGGGAGCATGAAGATCACATTGAAATACTCATTTTTGAGGTACACTTTTTCGCCGCTTTAGCCCCGAAACTGTACCGTAAGCGAACCCGAAAACCGAAAAATCTCGCTTTTTTGAAAAATTGTTATGCTGAGGATTCGCCGATTATTATGGTAAAATTTAACAAAAATGAAACCCGTTAATTATATATGCGAAATCGCACCTATGGTAATTCTTAAAAAGTAAAATGTTTAAATCCTTCACACCTTGCCAATATCAATGTTTGGCTCCTTGAGGCTTCGGGCCCTAAAATTCCATCTAGATACCGTACCCCTTCGTGAAAAACCCTCAAAAAATGACTCTTTTCTCCACCGTAAATTTTGACCCAACTACCGTAACCAAAATCTGAAACAGCAGGAAAATCAAGTTACTCAAAACGCTTTGACTTTCAAAAATGACAATCTCCCGTTTCCGGTGCCCTAAAATATGCCCGGGTTACCGTACCCCGGCGCCCGCAAAATTTCGTGGGCAATGTTTTTGTTCCGAAATTGGCACCATCCGGAATTTCCATCGCAAATTCTACCCAAAAAGTGCCAATTTCCATGCCTAATTCCACACTTTTTGCGCCCCCGAACCGACCATGTTCATCCGAAAATGTTCCAAAATGGCCACGTTCAAGTGAAAAGTGCCTGTAATAACAGTCATTTCGCGGGGGCCAAAAATTGCATTTTTTTGTTTTTGGCTTTCAAAATTTGGGGGTGCGGGTGGGTAATTAGGTGACAACCCGGTTTTGGAAAGGGCGATTTTGTCGCGTTTTGTTGCCGTTATTTGGGGGAGGTGTCTCAACAACGGGCTTTTGAACGTGAAATTAGGTTAGGTGCAGGTAAGAATTATGGAAAATATTCTGTTGGTCCTCTCATGTAAAAATTTAGAGTGCAGCAAGGAAGGTTCAACCGAGCGGATTTTGATGATTTAGGTGGCCTCGATTTTACATTGGCGTTTTTAGTATGGTGAGTTTTTAATTCGTTTTAAAGGGCTGTGGAAGGAAAAAGGTTGTGGATTTTTAACGGATTCTTTAAATGTTTGTTTTTAATTTGCTGCCTCACTCGCAACATGTATCTCTCTCTCCCTCTCTCTCCCTCTCTTTCTGTCTCTCCCCACTCTCTCTCACTCGCTCTCGGTCTCTCCCTCTCCTTCTGTCTCACCCCACTCTCTCTCTCTCTCTGTCTCTCTCTCTCTCTCTTTCTCTCTCTCACTAGCTCTCTCGGTTTTTTAAGGCCGCCGATACATCTTAAAATAACTTGTAATCTTCCGCCAGCTTTTAAAAGTGAATTCGTTTGGACAAATTATAGGGCACACAAACCGCACCTCAGAGGTTCGTACCGAAAAGTGCTATCCATTTTTTCCAAATTTTTCGCGAATGTCAAATGCATTTTTTGTGCAATTTTGTTTCGTTTTTCACGTGTTGCAAGGTGGTGATTTTCACAATAGTGTTTTGTCAAAATTGCCGCGGATTTTTAGGCTTACGAACCTTGAGATTAATTTTCATTTTTTGTGCGGTTTTGTTTCAGTTTCCGGGACCATGAGTGGTAATTTGGAGAATACAGCATGGCGGACTTGTAGCTGTTCTCTAAAGCCATCGTATTAATTTGCAATTTCCTTTCTGTTTTGTTGCATTTTTCGCGAGCCACAAAAATGTTGCGATGCCATCTTAGTCAATTTTGTAGCTGATCTTTAAAGTTAAGTACCCAGGAATTAATTTGCAATTTTTGCGATGGTGATTTTAAAAGCGCAGTAAAACCAAACTGTGGCTGATCTTTAACGTTAGAATCACGAACTTAATTTGCATTTTTAGGCATGTGTTTACAATACGTTTGTAAAGGAGAAAAGCACAAAATTACGATGCACTAAAAAGGAATTTTCGATAGAACCTAGATTAAACTTCATCAATCTTAAATCCATTCTTGATTTGGAAAGAACTTCGTGTATTTCAATTTTGAAAAATTTAATTCACGAAATTTAGCACTTGCCTTAATTTTCGTTGTTGTTTATTTTGCTAAAAATAAACTTGAAAGCCTTTAAGAAATAGTTTTTACGTAAAATTTACTTTTCGAATTACTTTCTATATTTTTTACCCTTTTCTGCTGGTCAAGAGCGCACGTGAATATCCTCACCTTGCAAACAATTTGGCCACGGGCCCACAAACTAATTAATTCGGCGGGGTTCAAGTTTTTCCTCACGCGTCCGGGGAATCCCCCTCTTTTTCATCAGCATCCCGGAATAATCCCCGCAGCGCGATGAGGAACACGTGAACACGACACATACTCATCGGGGAGAAACTCTATTTTTTTTCAGGGGAACAAACATCATAGGAGGCTTCTTGGACCAGCTTCACCGGAAGTGAACCAAAAAGTAAAAAACTGATTAGTAGCAGGCTATGCGAGACCTCTAGCACCAGGTGTTTTTTTGCTTTTTTTGTAAGCTATATTTTAATCTTTAATGGAACGAACGACGAACCTCCTCCGACAATCTACCAACGAACTATTTCTTTTCTTTAAAATCTGGTGTTTGAAAGGCCGTTTTTTTGCTCGACAAAAAATGTATGGTTTAGCGCTGTTTAGACCAATTTTATAACCATGTCACTCTGCGCGTTTGCTCTGTACATTTTATACATTACATACATTTGAGACATTTTAATACATTTGATACAATACAATACATTTAAAACATGTTCATACAGTGCGTACATTGCCATACATTTTTAAACATTTCGATACGTACCGTATTTCACTCTCCAAAATAGAGTCCCCGCTCGAATATAACCCTCCCTTTCAAAAATTTTGTTCAGATGTGCACTAACGGGCCAAAGAAAGGCAAAGAAGGTGAAGTCTATGCTTGACAGTGCGATTTAAAACGATTTTAAGCTGCCATTCGCGGAAAAAATTGTTTTTTTTGGTCAAATTTCGGCCAATTTACCCGCACCCCCCATTTTCGAGATTTCAGTCGATCAAAAAAAATATAAGCCCCCTCTATTATACCCCCCCCTCCTTCAACCCCCGACCCCCAGGACGATTGAAAAATACAACCGCCTAGATTATGTTGGAGGAAATACGGTATTTTAGTCCAGAAAATGACTGCTGAGTTTTTTACATTACAAAATATAAGCGTAATGTTCTAAGCAGAGACTAATAAATTTGCATGCTTGTTAAGACAGGATACATATTAAATACGTTCGCTTCCATATTTACAATTTTACAAGCAAAAAATTGGTTGCTAGCGTCAATTTCGCGCTAAAATCGGGGTAGAGGATGATGAAAAATAATAAATATTTACATTAAATGCAACGGTTTTTGCAACTTTAGAGCGCTGCTTCTAAGAGTATGTACATAAATCATTAAATACAGTTTTTACAGTAAAAATACATCAAATTACAATCATTACACATGCACAGGCGAGGGCAACGTCTTCATTTTGATGGTAGAATACGCGCGCTCTCGGACCTCACCCAGCCGGCAGCATAGGCTTGAGCGAACGTAACTCGAACAGAGGTATAGTAGCTAAAAGACAGATTGAGACTTGTTGATCAAATATCATAGTTTAAAGTACTGTAAAAACCACTAGGTTCCAAGCTACAACAAATGACAATTACCGGAGCCACGGAAGCGCAAATCGGCTTGGCATAGAATCCAAAGGCGGCGTCGAATTCAACGGTCACAATTCTGTAAAAATAGGTTCTAATTAATTATGATTACTATACTTCCTATTACTAAAAAAATACCCGAGATGAGTCCCGATCCAGAAGCTCGCGTAGAGAAAAATCAGCTGGTTGACGAAGATGGCCAACGAGGTGAAGAGGACCATTTTCTGATGCTTCGCGCATTGGGGGGACATCTGGAAATAATGGTAGACCACTTTACAAAAATTAGTAAACTAATAGATGTGAACACCAACGATAACCTTAATACGGTAAAGTCATTGCTCAAGCGTTTTTCGCCTTAAAAACTGACCCTGACGATCTTGATGGCACAGGTTACGTAGAGCGCGGCGGTTGTAGTTATAGCGGCGGCAAGTATGGTCGATCGGATGTGCTAAACGTCATTTGTCCACTCGAGGAATTTTCGAAGTTTTATTTAAAATGTAATAAAAGGTAAGATTAAGCCCATATTTTCAATACCTGTACCGGGAACTTGTTCTCATCGTGGTATCCCTGAGCATCCGGGGTGAACCACACCCTGCCGAACACCTCCAAGATATGCAGCAGGAAGGTGAGGAAGCCGCAGGCGACGCAGAGCCCAGCGCCGAGAAACGGGATCCACAGTGGCATCTACATTGAAGGTGAAATTACGATAGCGTTACCCTGCAAAAGCTTGAAAAACCTTACCGTTTCCATCAGATGCGTAGCCTCCCAGGAGCGTAAGAACGCCATCAACAAGTTCACCGACACCAGCATGTCTTGTTGTCCTCCAGCGATGCCGTTGAAAAATTGGTTTAGGTCGGTACGGTAGGAGATCGAGCAGCCGAGTTGGGCACCTAGGATTTAGACTACAAGATTTATACCGGATTTTTTTAGCTGAAACCATAAACTACAAACTGTGCGCGATAAGCTTCAAATTTCAAAGCACAGGTAAACTCTGTAAGTTACAAACTGCAACATCGAACACCTTTTGTATCCTCACCTCGCCCAAACATCATCAACGTCCCGGAGTCGGCCAGGTACAGTAGCCCAACACAAATCAGCCAATTTGTGCTCAACTTCCGAGCCCAGATCATGAGCGCGACGATGACGGTGTAGACGCAGAACATCAGGATCGAGAAGTTGGCCAGCCGATCCGAAGCGATCCGCGTGGTGCCGTTGGGTTGACAATTGCAGTGGCGATCGAACCAGGTGTCGTACTGTAAAGTTGTAGCTAAAGTGCCGGATACCTGAAATCTAAACGAAAGTAAGTCACCCTTACTTGTTTATAGTTTACGGTTTTTAAATGAAACCTACGATAACTCTCGCCAGCTCCAAAAGCTTCCCGAAATTCGGTGGGCAATCCGCATAATTCAAGCATTCGGGTGGGTAGCACACGGTGTAGTTGTAGCCTCCCATTTTGCAAGTACGCTAAATTTATGTTTTCTGCGTGGCATAGACGAATAAAATGTCGATAAAAATAAATGATTTTCGAGAAATGAAACTTTGAGACGCTGATGTCAAATTTTCCTTCAAATAGGCCAAAAAGCATCCAAACAATTTTTTTGGAGTTTTTCCACGTCGACAAAAAATTATAAAATTGCCGGATTAGGATCGGTCATTATTGGCAAAAACGGGTCGACCGCTTTTCGTCATTTCATCAGATTTCCATGTCTTTAAAACGATTTTTTTGTTCATATCAATTTTGTTACGGACCATAAAATTAAAAAAGTTTGAAATATACCCGTAAAATGGCCCGCTATGACCCCGGAACCGGACCCAAAATCAAGTCCGGGTACTTTCCGGATTCAGTGATTCCTGCCATTTGTTATGTTTCGAAAATGCATCCCTAATCCCGCGTATTTTGTGGCAACACCCTAATCCACTGGTTTTTTCCACAATTGAGGGCCTTCTTTTCATCCCTATGGTCGAAAAACTTTCATGTAATGACAAAAAAGCAATTAATCTGCGGAACGAAGAGGCAAATGCACGTAAAAGTCCTCGAAAAAAATTGAGGTTGTACTTGTTCTCAGCGCAGAATCAGAAAAGAGGGAGAGAGAGAGACCGAGAGAGAGTAAGGGAGAGAAAAAGAGAGCTAGAGAGACAGAGAAAGCAGATGCCGATCGCCGATGAACAACGGAGTTCTTATCTATTATCGGGGGGTGGGGGGAGATTATCTAGTGCAAAAACGATTTTTAGGTTTTTTGAAAAGTTGTTCCACTTGTAATATCGTTAAATGTTGCTAAAAACATTATAAACTACTTTGCTCGCCTACTCGCTAACTCGATTTGCTAAATATTTCTCGACACGGGCAAAAAAATGGTTTCTCCTCTTGATAATTCCCCCCCCCCGATGATGCAGAAGCTCCACGAATTGCAATATCATATTTTTTTCTTGCTGTCATTCTCCCTTTAAATCCAAAGCCGCCTAGAAACAATTATTCAGCGCAAATGCAAAAGCCACGAAGAATTCCCTAAAAGACAAACATCCTCGAGCAGTTCTTTGCCCTTCAGAATTTTTCTAATTTCCGGGGGACGGGCACCCCGGATAATGAATGTCCATATTCATCTTGCTGTGTTTTTGTAGTCCGGGGGCGAGTCCGCAAACACACAAATTTGATGAAGATTTTTGCGGCAATTTGCGTGCGGGGGGTGGCCCCCAGGCAGGCTTGACCACGCCCCCCATAAAAAGATGAGTAATTTGAATTTGGCGAGGGGCCAAGGAAAGGGAGGGGGATGTTGATCTTGTGCTCATCGTCATGCAAGATAGGTTTAGTTTGGTGCATCATGGAATTCCTTGAAAACGAGTGAAAGCGGCGGTTTCTATCAAAAAATTATTAGGTGCTTTGGCATTACCGGGGGGAGGTGAAGATTGGTGATGGGGATGGACTAATGTAGTTTATAGCATTGTGTCTTCCAGAAAATGGTTGAGAGCTTCGGCTTCGCTAAAGATTATACGGAGCTCTCGCATTATTGGGGGGGGGCAAAATTTTTTGATATAAGTAATGGAAATCTTTTTAAGAAGTTCTGCCCTATTCCTAAGCCAAAAAAGCGGCAAACTTTTGCTAAAAAAAGACTAAAAAGCCAGGCGCAATCGCCAGTTTCAGTCAAATTTTAAATTTTGAAGTTTTTGATATAGGTTAAAGTTTGAAATATGGATAAATGTGATTAAGAAAACGATAACATTATGTTACTGACCATTTTTCGCTTCTAGGAAAAATTAGCGCTCCTCAAACCCCCCCCCCCGATAATGCCAAAGAACCTACGGATTTCTAGTTTTTCATGCATTTTTACCTTCACTACTTTCCAATGCAACAAAAAGTGCATAAAACATCAGAAAAACAATTTATTATACAACATCCAGACACGAAGGTAGCCAAGCAGAGGGATAGAGGGAAAAGAATATTTAAATTAATCGAATATTGATTTCTGGTAGTTCGTCTTTGGCGGGTAGATCACGGTGGCCGAGCCGAACGAGAAGCCGACGGGTTTTGGTGGCGGGCGGAGAGCTCGAGCAGTCGATCCGTGCGCTTCATCAGACGGCCGACGCGACGATACTGAAAAAGGTGCTCTCTCTCTATCTCTCTCTCTGTCCCTCTCTCGATCTCTCGGTTTTTCCCTCTTTCTCGCTCTCTCTCTCTCTCTCGCTCTCTCCTACCCGATCCACAGCCTTCACCAGCGTCGTCCCCAAGATCATCGCCGACAACGCGATCAACACGACGTGCGGGATGGCCATCAAGAGGAGACTAAAAAGACAAATTAAACTTCTTATTATAATGAATTAATATCTACTCGGATTCATCCAGCGATCCCATCGAGTCAGCGGGGCGGCGAGTTCGAGCTGCAGCCGCAGAGCACCACCAAAATTTGGGGGAGAAAATGTGTAATTTTACCTTTTCTGAAAAATTCAGACACTTTATGCAAATGTTCGTATGGTAATAATTTTGTTAAAGAGTTTTGGTTGTCTCTATCATTTGCTTTGCCAATTTCTCTCTCTCTCTCTCTCTCTCTCTCTCTCTCTCTCTCTCTCTCTCTCTTGCTAGCTCGCGAAGACTCTATGCCTCTATCACTCTCTCCCACTCTCCTTCGCTCTCTCGCTATTTTCCTAGCTCTTCTCTTGCCTTCTCCCTATCGCTCTCTCTCTCTCTAACCCTCTCTCTCTTTCTCTCGCTCTATCTCGTTCTTGCCTCGATCATTATTGGCAAATTTATTGCATCTCAAAACATGTGACAACTGCCACGAGGAGCCGAAGAAATCCTGAGGCTGACAATTGATACGGGTTCGACAGATATCCGTCGATTTTGTTTCGGTGCACTGACGATGAGACGGCCCAAATTCCGTCGAACCTCCACCCAACGATCTTTCAGTCCAGTTCGCATACTGCTCGAGCAGAGGTACAGCATCTTAAAGTGACTTTGACTACAGTGAAAGCGAGCGAGAGGCTGCGAGAGAGAGAAAGAGAGAGAGAGAGAGAGAGAGAGAGAGAGAGAGCGAGCGAGACCGGGGCGACTGACAGAGGTGCGCACTTACCGGAGCTGCAGAACTGCAGAGCGGTCGTGCAAAGTAGCTGAGGTTGGCGTTAAAAATTAACGAGCCGACACTGAAATAAAAAATATTAGAAACGCAAGGCACTAAAGTAAAAAGGACAGTCGCTGCTTGTCCAGCAGTAATTTGATGGCAACCTACTTGATCTTCTGCCCCAGCCAAAAACTGGCATAGGTAAAAATCATTTGCGTGACGAACACCGAGATCGACGTGAAAAAGATGAAGCGCTGTCGACGGGCGAGTTGTTCTGACATCTGAAAAAAAATCGGGATTTAAATCTGTATATTAGGTGCTGGGCGTATTACTGAATTGCTGCTGTTTCGATCAGCCGCTTTGCGCTTACCCAAACAATCTTCAACGCACATGCAAAATAGAGAAGAGCCGCTGCTATGATTGCGAATGCGAGCAGGCCAATCCTGAACGTCTAAAACACGATTTGGACATTTTTTTTGATTGCTTTTCACTAAGCGATATACGTGAGCTTGAAAATAAATCTCCATCAATATTGAGTACCCTGATCGCTGACCTGAAAAGGCCATAGATATTCTTCCTGGTATCCACTGACTGGTGTAAACCAGATCCGACTGATATGCTGCGTGACATGCAGGAAAAAGGTTGTAATTCCAATTGTGATCGCAATAATGGCACCGACGATCGGGATCCAGTGATTTGTCTAAAAATCTACTTGAAGACTAGGCAAAGTCTAGGAAGGAGAGAGAGAGAGAGAGCGGGAGAGAGAGAGAGAGAGAGAGAGAGAGAGAGAGAGAGAGAGAGAGAGAGAGAAATTACGAGAGACAAAGAGAGACAGGGAGAAAGAGGGAGAGAGGAAGAGAGAGATCAGAGACAAAAATGCGTACCTCTTCGCGTATATAAGTGGCTTCATGGTACCGTAGATACGCCATTAGCAAGTTCGTGCATACCAGCATATCCTGTAGACCTCCTCCAGCCCCTTGCCAGAGCAAATTCAGATCCACCCGAAAATCCAGGGCACACCCCGTAATGACAGATTCTAGAATCGACACTTTCAAGCTATATAAAACTTTGTAAAACGTGATTTAATGAATTCCGGCGAGATCTGAGATTTATAGAAAATCTCACCTCGTGCCGACATCACCAAAGTACAAGCGTCAGAGATATACAACAAGCCTATACAAATCCGATAATTGAAACGTAGCCTTTTCATCGTTAGGATGAAGATTAACAGCGTTGTATAAGCAATTAATGCCAAGAAATTATATAGGCAAATGACAGTAGATGAGGTCATACTGGTGAAGGGCGGATTGCATTGGGGATGGAGCCAGGAGGTGCACTAGAAATCAATCAATTCTGGCTCGCTAAAAACCTACCATCACGCCAAGCATTTCGAAAACTGCTTCCAGGTTAGGAGGGCAATCTTCGAAATTCATACAGGCCGGCGGAAGATACACGGTATAAGGTACGGTAGCGTTCATCTATTTTTAAATTACGGAAAATTCCAAACTATGCGAAAAATCGAGGAGAAGGCCGATGCTACCCATAGATTCACTGCGGCACGTGGCTCGGGCTTATTGAGTTAAGGTAGGGCGATAGAAAATGTGTGCGAGTGAGTTGGAGAGAGAGCGCGAGAGAGAAAGACAGAGAGCAAGAGCGAAGGAGAGAGCGGGTGAGGGAGAGCGAGAGAGAGCGAGAGTGAGTGAGAATTGCAAAGGCACGTCGGGCCAAGGTGTTGTTTGGCCTTCGCACCTCAACCATTCAAGAATCGGCACGCGAGACGGAATTGGTTTTCCGGAGAACATTCTGAACCTGTCGGCCCCGTGCCAAATGGGTATTTTCGGCTGTGTTACTTTGTTGTTGGCCGAGCCGAGCCGAGCCACACGTAAGTAGTAGTGACGCCGAAAACGCGAAAAATTATTTTTTTTTCGCTCTCTATCACAGTCTCTCTTTGTTCTCTCTCCCACACTCTCTCTCTCTCCCTCTCTCTCTCTCTCTCTCTTTCTCTCTCTGTTTCACCATGCAAGTAAAAATTAACTTTATTAAAAACACACCACAACCCGGGGGAAAACTACAAAGCTAGTACGAGTACATCCAAAAAAAAAGTGACGAATGGTCTGGAAGAGGTGGAAAACACTACGCTACGCTACACTACCAATGACTACACACGCGAAAACAGGATTTCCAAAACTGTGCCGAAACCGGGAGGGCTGTAAGGACGAAATTGTGGAACCCAAGACAGCAACTGGAGGGCTGTAAGGGAAGGGAAGGGGAGAGGGCGAGAGAGCACGGAAGAAGGGGAGAGCACAGAGATGACGAGGGAAAATTGAGGGTACGGTAGGGTGGGAGAGGGTACGGTAGGTCTTCGCGTTGGGCCGCCGGGTCCTCAGGCTTCAGACTCGTTGTTGCGCGCCTCCTCGAGGGCGGCCAGGACCACCTGCAGGTACACCTGCAAAATAAGATATCTCTCACACTCTTTTCTCTCGCTTTCTCGCTGTCCCTCTCACTCTCTCTCTTTTGCTCTATCTCTCACTCTCTCCCTCTCCCTAACTCTCTCACTCCCGCTCTCTCACATTTTCTCTATCTCCCTTTCTCTCTCCCTCTCTCTCTTTCTCTCACCTTCTCATTCGACGTCAACCCTTCAGCCGGGATCTTCTCAAGCAGCTTGTCGGCCTCCGTGTTCTGCACCAGGGCGAGCAGCTCGCCGTGCTGGTCCTCCATCGCGTACAGGCTCACCACCTCGATCAGCCTGAAATCAGGAGCTGAACTGCTCGACAAGCTTCAAAAAAGCCGGCTTGGGCTGCTCGAAGACGTCCAAAATGCGCCCCTGTTACCAAAATCAATGGCCCCCTACTTCTCGCGCAGCGGCTGCGGCGAGTTCGGGATCGCGTCCACAATTCCGCCGACAAGCATCGACAGCTCGGCGAGCAGCTTCGGTCGCTTGGCCTTCAGCCACATCAACGGCGACTCGGCCAGGCAGGACTAATGGAGATGTATGTACAGTGAGAGCCAGAGAAAAAGACAGGGGGAGAGAGAGAGAGAGAGAGAGAGAGAGAGAGAGAGAGAGAGAGGTGAGCCCCTTACCACGACGTCTTCAGCGTGGATGTGCAGCCATCCGGAGTAGATGAGCCCCGAGGCGAGACGGACAGATGTCTGGCGCACAGCCGCGTCTTCGGCCTGCATACCGGCCTGCAGGCAACCGAGGAACCTGGAAGAAGGACGTCTTTTCGAGCGTAGCGTAGCGGAGTCTAGCATAGTCCTGCGTATCGTAATGTCTTTTCGTAGCGTAAATTAATGCTTGGCGCAGTGTAGTGTCATGTTACGTAGTGTCATCTAACGTAGTATCTCGTAGCGTAGCGCAATATACCGTTGCTTAGCGTAGCCTAGCGCAGCGTATCGTAATTTAGCCATTCATAGCGTTCGCCTAGCGTAGTCTTACGTAGCATAACGTAGTGTAGCGTTGATTAGCGCAGCCCAAATAGCTCGCCGTAGCCACCGTTGCGTGGTGTAACGCAACGTAGTGCAGCATAACCCGTACCTCTGGTTGGTGAACGTAAAGTGTGCCGGGACGGGGAAGACAAAGTACTGCAGCAGCGTCAAGGCTTCAGCACGCAGACGATCAGGGACGCCGCGCCACGGGTACGGCCCGGAGCCGCTCAGCTCAAATTGCGAGATCTGGAATTTCAGGGCGTAAGCGGTAAATCGCAGGGGTCCCACCGCCAGGGTGAAGATCTCGCGGCGGGCCGCATCGATCGTCGGCCGCTCGCCGTCCTCTTCCGGGTCGCCGCACGCCGGCAACGAGTGCAGGATCACGCAAAAGTACTTGATCAGGCACTCTAAAATGGCAATCGCGGAATTTTTAGCTCTAAAATTTCGGTAAGTCTATTTTAAAAACACCAAAACTACCGTAACAACCTACCCCTGACTTCCTGGTCCTGCTTCAGGGCGGTCAACGACTTGGGCAGCGGGCGGGACAGCTGGAGCAGGTGGCCGCCGAGAAACTCGTTCACGTCGCGCATGCGCAGCAGATCGTGGCGCTAAAAACGCAACAAATGAGTTGGATTAGTCAATTACAGCTTTCAAAACATCTTCGAGACGTCCGGAACCCAATTACGCTATCAAATCCCAAAAAGCAAAAAGTAAGCCCAATGCGGGGCTCGAACCCGCGACAACCAGATTAAGAGTCTGGTGCTCTACCGACTGAGCTAACCGGGCGGTGAGCTCTGGGAGGAGAAAGCGGGGTAAGAAGGGGCTGTAAAAGCACTAGATGGATGCCCCCGCTGGTCCCGAGCTTCCGACG